TAGGAAATATAGTGTTACTCTGACATGCGTATTAACATAAAGCCCATCTAAACATTAATCTCTAAAACTACATTTATGTCGGTGACCCTAAGAAACTTACCACGTTTTGAGACTCTAGTATTTTTACTGGTTTTCAATTTTCCTAGTCAGCGGACACTTTCTGTATATCCGCGGTTACAAGCTAGATTACAAAAGGCGGTCATCGAAAAATCACAGTCATGTGTTTAGCCGAGTTCGGTGATGAATCCGAATCCTGACAGGTTTACACAATTTTTTCTCTTGGAAAAAGTAACCTTCCGTTTTACTGCATTTTCATGCCCAATATGTCTACTTTCTTCCAGATTACTAGTCCGTTCTACAAGTCAGACACTTATGAGGAACCGAAGATTTACCACTTATGGTTGTATATTTCCTTATGTATCGGACCATTTAGTACAAAAAGTGGAAGGATTCTTGAGTTTTGACCGGTTTTACTTATTTCTTTCTTTGAAGTAGGTTCTTTTATTGACGTAGGGGTGACTCATAAGGTGGATGAGTGACCAACCGTTAGATAGATAGAGCATTAGAAATTCGTGTTGGACATCGTGCTCGTGGCACTGTTTCATTTTCTCACCCTCCATTAACTTACAAGCTCTGATCCTCACATAGAGGACACGTTCAATAAGTCATGGACGATAATTTGTAGAAGAATGTAAATGCTACGAGATAACAGCCTGATAAAGTATATGACATTTATGGAGTAAACGCAAATACGGACTAGACGTTGGTCTACATCGACTGAAAGCCAAACATTGGACGAAAAAGTAATTCTCCTCTGGGCTGCGAAAACTGGACGAACGCGTTTTGGTTTGGTGTGTTGATTGAAGTGACGTTCTTATGGAGACTATTTTGAATGATACGAACGAATTATGGGTGCTCTTAAATTTCTGATATACTCTGTCGAATTACCACATTGATAAAACGTTAAAATGAGTGTCAAATTAGAAGTATGCTTTGAATCGTACACTTCATAATTTACACAAACAGAAGTCAAATAATAAAGAAACGAGGAGTGTGAAATGTAACATTTAGCTGAAGTCGGAAAAGTAAAGGTCGAACCAGACTTTATTTAGGACGGACTGTACAAAAACTGCAGATATTCAGTTAAGTTGTATCTGTCAGACATTCAAAATTCAGGCCTTCACAGAAACTATATTGAGGTAATGGTTGTATTTCATCAACGTAGATGATCTATGTCAAATGATTGGAAGCCTACTCGAGTTAGGTGGAAATAGTGTGACCAACAGCTAATTTCGAAGTCACATCTCACAGTCATTACCTAATGTGTATCACCATTTCGTCGTGTGAAGATACTATAGGTGGTTTGAAGACCATACAACACAAAGGGCTTTATTACAGAAATATATTAGTTAGAGTGGGTACAAGAGAAAGTTCAACCACCACCACATGGGTCAGACCATGGTTAATGATCAACTGATGCGCATTGGTTGTCCGCGACCCTGACAAGGATCGATGAAATGTTCAACGTTCAATGACTCAACTGCCGCATGAGCTGGCTAGAGCTCACTGAATTTCACTGTCCATACATGGTGAACAACTGACAAGGACAGATACATGAGTTTAGTAGTACAAGCTACGTTAACGCTATAGTCAATATGGATACAATATAGAGCTAGAAAGTCTGTCTAACATAATTGGATTATCTGATTTATTCTCTTACGAACGCGCTTTTGCATCCATTGTTATGAATTGAGAATGTAAGTGATATGTGGCGACTGAACACGAAGATTGATAAGATAGAGCCATAATTTTTTATCTCCGCAACCATTCGACTAATTGTGGCCTACAAAACTTTACGCGTGCTAATTAAAAGGACAGGGGTATTTTTCTTCGCTGAGTGTATTCTATTGTTTTGATCGTTTATTACCTATCAAGACTGCTGTTTTCACTGAATTTATTTCAGTCAAAGTATTCGATCAGATTGTCGTTTCTGTTTCTAAAGTAGTTTGTCGTCGGTACATTTGAGTATTTTTTTTCTACTGTATCTATTAGTACTTTCGGTTCTAACGATCTAGTTTTCCACTGTTTTGGACATAAAGCATTTTTGTTTCTGAGTATTATTGCATCTACTTCTTTTTGTAAAAAAGACCCGTGTTTGATGACTGGACAGTGCGAAAAAAGTAAATGCCAACGTCACGGCTCTCGTCATCCTATTGAAAGCAGCATGCAGTGCGATGAGTGCAAAGGCTGGTACCACGACGTTTGCACAAATTTAACGCCTGAGGCTTTTAAACGGTTCAGTAAAAACGGTTGCGTATGGCTCTGTAAACACTGCTGTTCGGATGTGAACAGCTTGCTAACCGAGGCGATCTCATTTGTAAATGCAGAAAAAGTGTTTTGGAAAGCGTGGTCTGAACACATAAGGTAGTACTCGCTCTGTCAACACGCAAATCGTTGTAAAGTAGATTTAGGTGAGCTCGGAAACAGCTGACTCACATCGACCAAAGGAGGAAACACAAGAGGTCTGTCTCAACGAAAAACTCAAGAAAATAAATTTCTTCTGTCTCTCGTCTTCTAAACGGTATCCAGCAGGTAACGCCTGAAAGCCGCAATCGCGAGGCTCGATCGGTTCTAAGCGCGAACCATAATCTGACCTCCCTAATCATCGACAACCCTCGAAATCCCACAGTTTGTTTGACGCGACTGTGGCTGCTTCTTCAAGCAACGTTGTCGATTAGGTACAGGTTGTAAGGATGAAACAACATGACGATATAAAAAAGAATCCTGTCCATATAAAAGTAGTCGAGAAATCGAAGGCTCAATACAGTGACAGACCATTTGTTTTTTATAGAATCAAGGAGAGTGAAAGCTCTGAAACAAAAACTCGTTTTGAGCATGACATTGTGCAAATTGACTCTACAAAGCCAGACATAATCGCAGTAACAGAAACCTGGCTTACACAGTCTATAGATAGTATGAAACTTAATTTCGATGGTTTTACGTTAGTAAGGGCTGACAGAATACAAATGCGTAAAGGAGGGTGAGTAGCTCTATTCATTAGGAATGCCATCCGACTCACCATTATCGACAGTGAATTCCATGAGAGCGGGACGTGTGAATTAGTTATTTTCCGCTTGAAATATAAGGCAAAAGAGTTGCTGATTGGTTTTGTCTATCGCCGTCCAAGCTGTGAGGTAAATGAGATCCTGTTAAGCAGTTTCAATACTTGGAGAGGCTCATATGTTCTCAAACTACATTAGCAAAGTATACACCGTAGAAGCTTTTTTCCCGTCAGCGCATAGAAATCCCCCCATACATATACTGGATAGCGTGACCATTAAAGAACTCCATGTCTTTGGTCTGCTAAATAGGCTTGACATAAGTCAATCCACGGGGCCCGATGAATTGTATTCTAGGCTACTGAAGGAATTATCTAACTTCGTTGCGAACCCTTCAAGTATATGCTTTAATCTATCCGTACCGCAGAGTCGTTTACTAAAAGATTGGAAGAACGCTATAGTAAGTGCTGTCTTCAAAACAGGTACGAAGTATAAACCTGGGAGTTACTGACTCTTTAGCCTAACTAACGTGGCTGTTGAAATCTTAGAAAAGATTATCCGGAAGGAGCTATTTAAGAACCTCCATGAAAACCGTATCCTTTCGGAGAAGCAGCTTGGTTTCATAATAGGTTATTAAGCTTATTAGTTTCTCGTGAAAGCTGGTGCGCTCTTTAGTACTAAAAGTCACCTGTAGACGTAGCCTGCATTGATTTCAGCAAAGCTTTTGACAAAGTTCCACACAACTGGCTATTATATGAGCTAGAAAATGTTGGAATTGGAGGCAATCTACTGATGTGGATAAAGGACTTCCTAGTTGGGCGCCAACAAATAGTACGGGTGAACTCAAAGTTATCTAGATGGGATACTGTAATTATTGGAGTGCCTTAGGGTACAGTTTTGGGGCCATTGCTATTCCTCTTGTATGTAAATGACCTTCCTCGTCTCCTATCATCATCGATCTTGCTATATGCCGACGATGTCAAGATATGGAGAACGACACGATGTGAGGGTGATAGCTTAGAACTCCAAAACGACCTGAAGAAATTGTCAGAATGGTCTCAAACCTGGCAGTTGCCGGTCACCATGGCAGAGATATATATATACGATGAACGACGCTGTGCTACTTGATGTCCAGACATATAATGACTAAGGAGTCATTGTTAGCCAAGACTTAAATATTACTGCTCACTGCAATGCAATAGCCGTGAAAGGTTTTGGAACTTTATGGTCAATACGTAGGGCTTTTATTCATATCGACGCTAAAACGTTTTTGACTTTGTATACAGTGTTCGTACGTCCTAAACTTGAGTACTGCATACAAGCGGCTAGCCCCTGCTTAAAAAAAGACAGTGAGCTTCTGGAAAAGGTTCACAGAACGGCAAATAATCTGATTCCCGGAATAGCGAAGCTTCCGTATGAAGTTCGACTGGCTAAGCTAAACCTATTCCCGTTGTCATATCGTAGAACTAGAGGCGGCTTGATTACAGTTTTCAGACTGTTCAGTGATAAATTTTCACCTGATATGCCCTCATTTTTCTTGTCTTCCAAAACAGAGAAGTTATGATGACACTCCAAAAAAGTTCACAAGCCCAGAACAAATTACTTGTCAGCTGACTATCGACTTTCCTATAGAATCATCAACCAGTGGAATTCATTACCTTAACACGTGGTTGAGGCTCCAGCCGTCGATTCTTCCAAAATAAAGTTGGGTCGAATGAGAGACCACCATTGCCAAGACTATTACAGGCCATCAAGCCTCCTGTTCTTTCCAAAGTGAAATTGAAATGTTGAATTAAAATGTTAGACAAATGATATAAGAATACGGATTACCAAATAAAAGTACAACAACTTATCACACAATTAGGAAAATTTCTAAAAAATGTCACTTTCATCAAATTGAAGACTTTGACTTTTTGTTTTGTTTGAATCCTTAATGTGGGTTGTACTTTCAGGACGTATTGTTAACTAATATGGCGCTACATATAAATCAAGAAGGATATGGTAATTTAGTTAAGTGGGATGTTTGAGGCTGTAATTTTACGTTAAAGATATGGAAACCGTGTCAAACAACTCGGTATGTCAAACAATAATTATCTCTCATTTTTTAATGTTACTTTATTGTTTTTTAAAAAGTTTAAACAGGTTACAATGTACACAAGTTTTTTGTATTCGTGAATGCTTACATCTTTCATTTATCAGTCTTAATAGTACCCAATTTAGTTACGAAAAACTTCAAAGTCCTCAGGATTCATAGTTAGGTGTCATTTGCCAAATGTTCAAAACGTCTCTAGTGAGTCTATAGATATATATAAGTTGGACAAGAGGAATTAAGTCTTTGAGCAAACTCTTTTGATAAAACTTGTGGTTTATAGAAAACGCTCTAATTGAATACATTTGACTATCATTTGTAGTCAGTTGAGAATGTTTTACTCACCCTTACATTATGTAAACATTGGCACTCCAATACTGAAACGAAAATAAGGTTGTGATTAAAGTCTCGTTTATTGGTGCCGGGCGAACAAAGACAGTTCAGCCGCTTGCCGTTGTACGGCTGCGGATTTTCGTAACTACTACGTATTGCAACAAACTTGACAGATGGAGTTCTATTTCTCGCATCGAGTGGAGAGTTGATCGAATTATCAGCCAGAGTGCTTAATATCAACGTATTAGGTTGACTCATCCACAGAGGGACCAGATCTTTACAGTGCTATACGTTGAAAGAAATAATATTGGTCGACTTACCTCTGATTCCTACCAGTGAAGACGGAAGAACACTGAAGACTATAAACCTCGACGTGTTGTTTTGAAGGGCATAGTGTCGATTTTTTTTTTTCGTTGTGTCTAAATACTCTTGTGTTGGTTCAAAGCAGATCTAAACCTCCATAATTTATCAGCTAATGTGCTTCTCATGTGGTTTTTCGATTTCAATTACTTTCGTGCTAAGTTTCGTATGAATGTGCATGTTGTTTTAGTGGGCTAAATGAAGTTAAATACCTGTTTAATTATCTACAAACAGTTAGGAGTTTTAACTGTATATAAGTAAAGCTTGAATGTATCAAGGAAACGTCTTATAAATTACCGTCAGCGAGACACTAGGTTTTCAACGAATTTCGATAACGTTGAGATCATTATCCAGTTTCTATACTGTTTAACTCTCATCGTTACTTCAGACTATGTCTTTTGGTTATAGTATTTAGAGGACTTGTTTACATCTCGTTCGTTCAAACTATCGCAAAATTTTCGTCAACCTTGAAGAGTTGGTGCCTGACAAAATTTCGTTTAATTTTTGATAGCTAGTGCCACTTTTGTTGAAGACAAGACAACCATCTGTCGACTAAAGAACGATTTTTTCTCTCATCAGCCACCTTGTTCTTTATTGACGTAAAAAATTGGCCTTTATAAATAAAGAACATTCAAAATTCGCTAGAGTTTGGTCACGAGTGTCATTGAACGAGTAGTGTTGAGGTTATATATGGAGCCCAAACCAACAATGGAAAGTCGGTTGGTGAGATGATTAGTGTTCGCCGACTTAGGTGGTTAAGATATGTACCAAGTCTGCTCACAAACTGTCTTCCTAGACATACGACGTTTAATTTTATAAGGACAGGTTAAAAAAGCCAGGGGAAACAAATCAAGACATGGAGTCAGTCCATAAAGTCGTCGACCGTTGATCTGAGCCATGTTGGTAGATACTGACTACTTGGTTAGGATGTGATTGACTACTATAGCCAATAGTCAGAGACTTTAAATTAAATGGCTTGAAATCACTCAAGGGGAAGCAGATGAGTGTAATCTCTATCTTTCATTTCATAATTTCTTTATGCCTACTTTTTTACTTTCCGTTTTCGAATCATATTCTTGACTTTTAGTTTAACCCGCCATTATTGTTATCATATTATCCGGCGTCTTATATTACTCATCTTGCTAACTTCCTTCTGATGTGGCTTAGACGACTACACAAGCGAACAAGGTCACATTTTGATGATACTTGCTTGCGCTGTATTCTTCATACAGAGAATTTTTAAATCACAGTACCTTCATGTGTTGTTAAGTTGTTCTAGGTCTCACATAGCGCTTCCTATTGAAGCTGATGTCTTGAACGTTTTATGAGTTTTCTTCAGACCGGATTACGTAACAGACAGTTTCAACCACACATACAGTTTAGATAAACAATCCAAACTAGCTAAAATACTTCACATGTAATGCAAGTAAACACACCCGGTTGTTTTAAGTTTAAATATAGGTACACATTGCCAAAAATACTCTACTTTGCCCCTTATTTGTAAGCGATTATCACTAAAATGGTTCATTTACTATGTAATTCGGTATATTTTTAGAAGTCGTGTCTTGATTTACGGGTGATATTAAGTAATAAGAATAATGTGAGTTTTCAAAAGATGAGTATAGATAACTCGTATTACCACCATCTGTATGATACTTTAAAGACAAAATAGTACATTCAGATTCTGCTGGATTGAATTTTCTGAAGAAATAAAATATTTCCAGATATGGGTTTTGGTACAAATTTGATCAGCGTCTGTGTATAAGTCATAAGGCCGCGAGTTTTCCGTTATGCTGGCCTATTTATCGTCTTTTGGTGAGGCTAGGCAACATATGTATGTATATGTCCATATTACTTTGGTAAGATGTTGGTAAAAGCCGTTTGTCTTTCGTAGATTAATTATCTTGCATTTATTTGTGTAACAGTGTCCTTTGAATAATAGGTCTTGTATTAGGATATTATTCATTAAGTAAAATTCTAAGCATAATTATTTACCTGATGGGACAAGCTACTTATTGGAATGCCTGAAGACATTCCTAGGAAATGAAAGGAATACTTTACTACAGGGAGATGTTTTTACGATTATCTACCATAAATCATGGTGAATAATACTAAAACCAAGTTATATACCTTCTCCCATGATGTCTTAAAGTAGTATCGAGTACGAACGACTGGCAGTTATTATTGTATGAAGGCTGGATAGTAGATGCGAGTATGAGAGCCTTGGTCAGTTGAAAATTAACCACAACAGACTCGCTTATTTGAAATACATTTTGTTACTGATCATTACAGGGAAATCCAATTCAAAGTATCAATGATTCTGCATTCTTATGTATGTTGCAAACTATTTGAGAAGACTGCTTATGAGCAAAGATGAAATCTTTGTTTGTATGTCATAACTGGAAAAGTAAAAACAGTCGTTATAATCTTGAAACAGTTTAAATTTTCGCTAGAATTTCGCTTTCAAGACCGAAGCATTTGTATCGTAATATGTAACTCACACCTTGGCTTGATGGGGTTACATTTCACGTGAAGTTTACTGTAAATTAGAATAAAATATAATTATGCCATATAATTTCTGACCCCGAGTCAGTAGAACTTGATACAAATGTTTAATTAGTTGACAAGATCCGGACATTTATTAAATATTGCGTAACGCTTGCCTAGTCAACGTCTGCTCAGACATCCTATCAGAATCGATGTGAGAGTAGACTGTAGTAAGTGAAGACAACTCAGTTCACTAGATCACTGATTTGTCGGTGCCTGTGAGGCAGTTGTAATCCTTGGTTAAAAACTTTCTGCGCGTTAAAACTTGGTCATCAACTTCAGTATAGACCGATCCTTTTGCATTGAGTATTGCATTATTCTAAATCTAACATTCTACAAGCTCATTCGTTTAGTTTTGCATAGCTACTTTTTTTTGCATTATTCTCTTACCTCACATTGCTTATATTCCACTTGTTGTCAGTTTGATCATTTGTTTGCATAACTCCTGAAGTTCACTGTGACATTCACAAATAATTTGAACGATAAATTGTCAGTAGTGGATGACATGGAATATTTGCCAATATAGTTAATTTTTAGTGATTCACCGTAAATCATCTTATTTTGTAATATTTTATCATTGGGGAAAATTCAGGGTTATTCTGGTTCACAGCAACCTCGTTCATCATCTTCATCATCATCTTATCTGTTATCATCAACAACATCATCAACCTCAACGTTCATTACATCCAACACACATGATTCTTCACCTTCGATAGTTGATCAAAGTAATGCAACTGGTATGACCTCCACTTCTGTTACTACAACCACTACTACTACTACTACGTCGAACACATCTACGTCTGGGAAATCAACTTATACACTCGGAAAAGAAATTGAAATTGAATTAGGTAAATCAAATATTTTAGTGCTATACATTGTGTTAGTAGATTGTGATATAATCGATGTGAAGCAAAATTATTAATATTCAGTAATTGACATATTCATATTATTAGTGAATGACTGATCCAACTATTCCTAGTGATTTAGTTCCATGTTATTAATTGTCGAAGGATTCGTACAGTGCATTTGGACTGAGACTACAAAGTAATGATCGTATGGTTTAAATATGTATATGATTTACTGAAAAGGTCAGATGATAATATCTAGTGATAATATTTAGTAGCGAATTTGTATTTGAAATGATTTGTCGAATAAATTTATTGATACACGAATAAAGGAACATCCAATATTATCTTTAAAGTTTTAAACTCTAGATGTAAATCTACAGTACATTTGATGTAATTTTTGCAGCATAGTTTTTAGATGTATATATTTTCCAGTAATTTGTTTGATTAGCATATGGTATCCATCATTGGTTAACCTAGATTGGAGGTACACTTGACATTTACGCAGCGCATGGCAGCTTTACAATTAGTACAGAATTCTCTAGCAATCGACACTGATGATGCTTCAAGGAAGCGAACCCAAAACTTTATAAATATTTTCGTGCCTATATTTCATTATGTCAACATCTCATTAGATTTTCCTTCTTTTTACTTTGTGCCAGTAAGTATTTGAGAAGATCGACAGTTTGAATTATACATTGCTCTTCTTAAACCTTTTTTCAATCGTAATTAACCGATAAGCGATTTCCGTTATGAAACATTTAATTATAGATTATGTCGAATGCAATATTTAAATACAATCTGTTAGGACAATTCGTGCACATAATTTTTTAGTGTAGGTAATCCAAAAATGGAAAGGTAGATCGAAAGTTTGAGGAGGCTTTCATTGTCGTATTTTGGAATTAATGTGTTTATAATGTGATGTGAACAGAGTAATAAAGAAGCCGTGACGAACAACGGAAGCTATTTTTGATGACTTTATTTCACTCCATTCAAAGCCTGTAAATTACTAACATTTAGTTTTGTCACTAGATCATTCATTAACCTATGAGCTTTAGTTTGGTGTATGGTACGCTATCACATCCTTTCCTGTTCCAAAGCTATCGTGATTTAAGCGTAACGTTTTGTAACCTATTTTTCTACACTAATGCCTAGTTTGTACATAATTGTATTCTAACTGTTTGTCTGTTGTGGTCATGTTAGTCATCTATTTATGCATAAATTCTCTTAAATTACTCTGAATCGGCAATCAGGAATAAATTGAGTAGTGTTCAGGTTGATTCGTTTTCTCACTCTCTCTCTCGCGTGTCAACCAATCAGCTAATAGTCATCAATGTACACTTCTGGGGAATCCCATGCTAAGAAGAAACAGAAGTCCAGTGCTTTTAAGTTTTTCAACTGTGATCATTATGTCTAATTATATTACATTTTTAAGTGTTCACCATTCTATATGAATAGTTGTCAATCATTGTTATCTTCATTTGTCTGTTTTAAATCTTGTAACCCTATTTTACATTTAATTTTGTTAAAATTTAATTATCTCAACACTGTTGATAATAATAGTAATAATTGTTTTTATTATTACTATTGCATTCATCCATTTATCTATCATATGATCGATAAGCTAATTCAGTTAGCCAATTTATTCGTTAATGCTATTATTATTAGTATTTTTAATGATACAGATATTTTACTATTTTTTTCAGTTAATAATTATTACAATAATTCTGTCTAACTGGACAACTGACGCACATACAAATACTTATATAAACATAAAAAAAATAGTGATCGAAATAGGGGAACTAATAACTTAACCATGTATATGACATTTATTTCATGTGATCATAAAAAATAAATTATGATGGACTTAATAAACACAATATGACAAAATATGTACATTTGTGTTCATATTGTAAAACAGAAATCTATACAATAGTTTATCTAAATGTATATCTATATTATATATTATTGATAAGAATACTTGTATACATATGTAAAAGACATTCACTATTAAATTATCAGAGCAAAATGATAATTTATTTGCAATAAGAAGAATAGATTACTTAACTATTCTTCTCTTCTTATAAATTTATACATTTATTACTAGAGAGAAGTTATGTTCAAAATGAATCTTTTTCTAATTTTGTGGTAATAATAATATTTTAAAAAAAACAACTGAAGAATCCTAAGAAAAGAATAAAGAAAAAATTCTTATCTATGAACATGATTTCTATTATTTTCTTTTCACGTCATATTTTTGCCTTATATCAAATTCATTAGAAATAGGAACTAGAAGTAGAAAAGTCAATATGTATTGATTTATGTCAGTATAGGGGTTGTGTAGATTATTAGGTTTTTGATTGAGATCATGAACCGATTGACGTCAGACCACCGTTGGAAACCTGGATGCACTGAACGGCCGTTTCGTTCTATTGTGGAACTCCTCAACAGTGTGCATCCATGATCCCACTCACGGGATTCGAACCCATTGCCTATCGGTCTCGCGTACGAACGCTTAATTTACTGTACCACTGAGCTGGGATTCAATTATGTTAGTGTCTAAAATCAATTAATATACGAAATTTCGCGTCCATCTTCCATTGAACTGAGGTAGATACCTGTCTCTACCCGACACGAAATGGCCGTCCATTGCTTTCAGGTTTCCAAAGGTGGTCTAACATCAATCGGTTCATGATCTGAATAAAAAAATATTGATTTGTGTTTTTGATCATTTATTTGCATTATTTTCTTTGATATTATAATATTAAGTTTAGAAAAGTATTTAGTTTTAATGTACGTAAGCTCACAATAATTTGACAAAGTGACTCGACCATATATCTCCTTAATATTTCGGTTACATTTATATTACTAAAATTAGTTAGCTGAGCTGTATAATCTCAATATCGTTTCATTCCATAATATTCTTGTTAGAATAGAAACAACAACTTAATTTTATTTCATTTTCGCATGCTACTTCTCATAGGGGGGTATAGGTCAACCATCAGGTTTCTCCATGCAAGTCTGTTCTGGGGGATTCTTTCCGGTTGTTTCTAACTGCTATTTATCCTATTCATATCTACTTCCGATTCCCGAAACATTGTGTTCTTTGGTCTTACTCTTTTCCTTTACCCTGTTGATTCAGTTTGATTACTTCCGTAATATATGTCCTATTCACTTCCAACGTCTTTTTTAATTTCCCTTAGCTGAAATCCGTGTTTTTAATTTTTAATGTTTAAATGGGATTATCTGTCAACCTCTGATTTACCATTTATATGAAAGCTTAACAACAATTAAGCAAATTAAATACTAATTCTAAACATGATAATTACAAATAGAGTTATTTACGTTCATGATGTGTTAAAACATATTATTCATGTTATATTTTGTTACTAAGTAATATATTTAAGATTTAACACTTTCAAAAAAAATTGACATAACAGTGTTCGTAATCAGAGAGAGGTTTTTTGGACAAATAGCAATTTAATAGTTGAGATCATGAACCATTATTGAAAGCCTAAAAGCAATGGACGACCGTATGGGACTCCTCAGCAGTGCGCGTCCACAATCACGCCTCGCGGAATTTTAACCCAGAACCTATCAGTCTCGAGCGCGAGCGCTTAACCTTCGGACCACTGAGATGGTGTTCATTAATTTTTAATAAAAAAATCCATCATTCTTGTTTGCATATTAAATTTTATTGATCTCAGATTGAATATTTTTTAAAGGATGCTTTTTATATCAGATAAAGTTTTTAAAAGAGTAAAAAAATCATTCTGAAGCTTAACCAAAATAACTTTTTCTAAAGTTGTTAATGTGAAATGGAAGCATTTTAAGTTAACTTTTTGGATCCATGCCCAAAATTACAGAAAAAAAGTTATAAGATACAATATAAAACATACTTAATTCTTATTCTTTCTTAATAGTTCGATTAAATAGTTTCAATTTTAAAAATAATTAGTTAAGATCATGAATCGACCGATGTTAAACAATGATTGAAAACGTGGAAGCACTGGACGGTCATTTCGTCCTAGTATGGAGCAGTTATCCACCAAAGACAATGGATGGTAGCGCAATTTCGTGAATTAGTTGAAGTTAGACATTAACACCGTTGGATGTCAATTCAGTGGTCTAGAGGTTGAGTGTTCGCCTGCTAGACCGAAGTTTCTGGGTTCGTGTGTGGGATCGTGTATGCGTAATGCTAAGGTGTCCCACAGTGGGACGAAATGGCTGTCCAGTGCTTTCAGATTTTCAGTGGTGGTCTGACATTGATCGATTCACGATTTCAAGATAACTGATGTAATGATTATTTAAGAATAATGATAATTAATATTTCGACAGAGAAGGTTTAACAATACTTCAGAAAATTAACATGAAATAATAAACATATAAGGTTTATGCAATATGCAGTGTGTCAGTGATCAGTTTTAATATGTAAATAGAAAAGAAGAGATATGACTTGAACATAAATTGAAAACAAATAGTGATGAACTTTGTAAAAGGTTCCATTAAATTTTCTCTGAACAAAGAAAAATCAGTTGTATTTCGGTATTTTTTAAATGTAAAGATCAAGGTTGTTCGATAGAATCTGTATGATTTCCAGCATTTATAAAAGTTGAGATCGAATCTTCTCATCAAGATTCAAATTCCTTTGAATATTGTGATAAATTTTATCTGTGCATTATGAATACGGCTGTATTTCAAAGTAATTCACAAACACTTAACATAGATTCTCTTATTGTGTTCACTCTATTCAATTTTATAACTGTTCAAAATAAAATTATAAATAACTTACCTACTTATCTATTGAAACAAAACTTACAAAATACAATATTAATACAATTTGTAATTTATAGAATATTCGTATCACTGTATTACATAACTGAAATTGTACACGAACGAAAACTACATTCATACTCATTATATACTTAGATTATGAGTTTAAAAAACAAAACTCTTCTGTTATTCTAACGTTAATCTAATCAACGTAAATTAAGGTATCAGAAGTGTTTTTGTAAAGATTGTAGTAATTTCAATAGATGCGATCATGAGTCAATTGAAGCTAGACCATCATGGAAAACCTGGAAGCACTGGATGGTTGTTTCGTCCTATTGTGGAACTACTCAGCAGTGTGCATCCACGACCCTGCCTTGCAGAATTCGAACACAGAACCTATCAGTCTCGCGCGCCACTAGACTGCTGAGCTGGCCGGCATCCAGCGGTGTTACTGTTTAACATCAACTAATCCACGAAATTGAGCGACACATCCACCACTGTCTTCAGTAGGTTACTATCTCACAACACACCCGGTTGAACTCCACTGGTCACCGCTTCTCACTAGAACTCCAGGAAAATCCTCTAGAAGCCAGTCACTAGTGAGCATGTGTTGATTAATATCAGAAGTGGGTTTTGTTGAGATTGTAGTAATCTCAATAGTTGAGATTATCGGTCAATAACTAATCATTATTTATATGAGTGTTCTTTTTATTAAAAGAATTTTTAAAACAGTATACATTTTACAACATATTTTAAAACATATTTAAGCGTTAAGCTTTTGAAATGTACTATATGAATGTTTCTTATATGTTGAAAAATTTTTAACAAAATTTCTTTGAATATTTCATCGTGTAAACTATAGTTTCCTAAAAAAAGCGGAAAAAAGAATGATCCAATCAACAGTGCATTCACTAATATGCATAAATAGATGAAAATGTTTACAACTAAAAGTGTGTAGTAGTATTAGAAAAAAAAAAGATAAATACTCTAATGTGTTTCTAGGTCAAGGTTATTGGTAGCACTTCATTGTGCACCTTTCATATTTGACATTTATTCAATCTATCAACAATATATATTTAACAAGGATTACCTTTTACACTGTAAAATGTTTCTCTTCTTATAGTACATAAGATGAAAAGAAAAAGAAAATACAATTAATGGTTTATTCAATGTTTCAGTTTACCTAGTGTTTCTTTTTCTTTTACTGTAAATGATTATTTCTTTTCTCTTCTTTTTTCATACAATAATAAATGTTTTTGTTCTTACTAATTTATTTCATTTGAATCATTAATTTGTTAAACAAACATTTCTTTTGTTGATTAAAAAAAACAAATGTCTAAAGAGAAAGCCAATAGGGTAAAATAATAATTTCACAGTTGAATTCATAAATCGATCTAAGCTCGATCACCATTGGATATCTGAAATAACTGAACAGCCGTTTCGTCTTTGTATAGGACTACTCAGCAGTGTGAATCTACAGTCCCTCATGAGGGACTCGAATACAAGACTTTAAAGTTGCATTCGTTTGAGTATTTTTTTTCAGTTGGATATTTATATAAAGTTAACAGGGAATAATGTACAAGTGAACATGGAAATTTCATCATGGGAAATTCAGTTTATTCTAATAAGAAAATGTGCAAAAAGTAATATAATGATCGCATTATTAATAAAAAGATCTTTAGTCTTGTATACGTTTATTTTGGAGGATACTTGATAAAATAAATATATCTAAATACATGAAATTTATCATTTTTTCTATTCTTAAGGATACATACTATTGCAGGTTACTGAAGCCTTATTGTTTTTCCCATTTGTTTCAATTTTTTAAGGAAAAATAAACCGATATTTTTTGTTTTGGTCACGAGCTTTGCCAAACTATTTTACCAATGCATATTATTCAACATAATAATAATATTAGTACAGAGGTTGTAAAGGTCATTACATTTTTGATTGAGATCATGGACCGATTGATGTTAGACCACCGTTGGAAACCTGGATGCACTGGATAGCCGTTTCGTCCTATTGTGGAACTCCTCAACAGTGTTCATCCATGATCCTACCCACGGGATTCGAAACCAGTACCTATCGGTCTCGCGTGCGAACGCTTAACCTACTGGACGACTGAGCTGAGATTCAGTGATGTTAGTGTCTAACAATTGGTTCTTGATCTCAATCAAAAATATAATAATAATAATTGTCATAAATTTTGATCTACTTTTTTGATTTTTTAAAAAATTTCATTTATATTTTCATAGGAAGTGGTGTATCCGAAGAAGATACAAAATTAGCTAAGAATGACAAAAATGCTGTTGATTTTGTATTTGATTATTGTAAATTATGGTGTAAAACATGTAAGGATTTAGTGTTAACTTTAGAGAAACGTGCAACTGCTGGTAAGTAATAATGAATGATTTCATCGCTAATTTACAATGTTTAATGATTAACTGTTTTTATTAATGTTGCACTTTATATTTTTTGTAAACTTTATTTATCCCTGTTTTCATTACTATATGGTCTACAGTCTTTATGGTATGAATTCGAATTATAAGAATTTTAGTCCTACAAATATTTATTTATGGTTTAAATAACTTAGTGGTAGCATATTTGATTGTAATAGTGGGTGATGTATGGTTCCAAGTTATAGGAAAATCAATATTTCCTCGTAACCACACTCATATTCTGCTTACAAATGCTAACTAGCACGAGGAGTTCATTGAATTTCTTTGGTTGCAGACGAAATCAACAAATAATGAATGATATGCTTTGTCATTTCTTTTAATAGAACCTACCAAATTATATTAGTAAGATCGGCTTAAAAAAATATGATATTAGTTAGTACTCAACTTTCAATCATCATTATACACTTTCCGCTGGTTGTGCTCTAAAAATAATATATATATATATATATATATATATATATATATATATATATATTTGAACAATAAATAGTTAAAATACTGTTTATGACGCTATCATTCTATTGCAAAACAAATATCTCACAATACAAGTTGTAATTTTAGAATATTTCTAAAATTAAGGACCAAAGGTAATAATAGTATACAGCGGAATCTAACATCTAATTAGAAAATGAGAGTTTATATTTAGAATTATTCTGTTCATCTGTTTTAAACTTTATTTATATGACTAGGTGCTCTAGATTTGAATATAGTGAAGTACTATTGCGATAATTTTAAGATACTGGCGATATTATAATCTATGGATGAACAAATCAGATTTACGATTATAGGTCTTGAATTTTTGCATGAAATTAAATCATTCATTTGCCTACATAGAGTTTTAGCATTATAGCTGACGTCAGTTCGAGATGAATACCCTAACTATCAAGTGTAAATATTAATCCTCATTCCTCACACTATTTTATAATCTTCATTTAAGTGTAATATATAGGTGGACATTCTCAAGGTCTTTTTATCGTCGCACAAAGGTCATCCATAAATTATAGTCTCAACCAAGAATGTTTATTGATGAGCTTGTTAATGTCAAGAAAATAAAGTTATTCTTTTCAAAAGACTAGATAGAATTAACTTGCAGTTTGTTGATTAGGGACCATTAAACGCAATATACTAGTTGAATGAAGGGTTATATTGCTTTTATTCAATTGACTTTTGATATCTAAGAAAGTATACATTAAATAAATGATCATAATTAAACATGATCAGACTAATATGTAAATACAATTAGTGCTTTTTTACAATCTACATAAACTTCAGGAGGTTTACTTATTTCTTTTGACGTTTATGTAAGAGATGTATGTTACAAAATTAAGAGCCATTTACTATATCATACTTGAATGAAATTCATCAGTTTTCTTAGGTTTTCTGCATGTTTACTAAACGTGTAATTGACTCTTTTTAAAAATATAAAATTAAGCTCTCATATCTTAATGATTGTGCTCTGCCATGATATATCTCTCTGAATCAAGCTATCCTATACACAGTAACTTAGGACGAAAACGATTTGAGTTAGGTCCTGTTGGCATAACAACTGACCATAAGAAAGCAAACAAAGTATTCAGCTTGTTATATATTAATAGTGTTTCACATCAACTTTGAAATTAGAAAATGATTTATAAGTAAAAAATTTTAAAAAAGTTTAATATTATCATTTGATTAGTTCAAACAATTGAACGAGTTGTCTTCATGTTTACTCACAATTAAAGTATAAAGTTAGTTACAATTGATTAAACATTATGTAATCACATATACTTTATTATTAGTTGAATTCATCAATCAATCTAAACTACACCACTATTGTAAATCCAAAATCACTGGATGACCATTTCGTCCTAGTATGGAACTTCTCAAAAGTCCTTATCCACGATATTATTCAGAAAGCTTACATTATTAGCTACATTTTAATCGATTAATCATCTTAATTTTATTTATTTCAAAACTTGTAAAGTTAGTTATTCAATAATAAATCAAATGGGATACTGTAAATGTCATTTAATAGTTTCTTGTTTCTATCGATTGATCTTTGTATAAATTACGAATTACTATTTGACATTTTATGCATCTTGTTTTTTTCTGCAAACAATGAATTTCATTGAAAATGAAAATAACAATCATCATCATCATCATTATAATACAGAGAATGAAAGTACACGTATTATCATGAAACAATTTCAAATATTGGAATCAAGTACAACTAATCAGGTTAGTTATTAATAATGTTAATTTTATATTGAAAAATTAAAAAAAATCCTAATTGTTTATTCTTCTTGACATTTATACCTGTTTACAAATCATATCAGTGTATAACGGTAAGACTATAATTTATGAACGAACCAATCAGATTTACAATAATAAGTTTTGAATTTTGGAGCGAAATCAATTCATTCATTTGATTACATAATAATTTGACATTACAATTGATGTCAATTCATGATAAAAAAAGAAGACTTATATCTGATTTCTAACCTTAATCATTAATTGTAAATTATAATTCTAATTCCTCACATTATTTTATAATCTTCATTTAAGCGTAGTATATAGGTGGACATTCTCAAGTTCATTTTAACGTCATTTAAAGTTCGTTCATAAATGATAGTATCATCGTTAATTCTTTAAAGAAAAGAGAATATTGTGATTAATTTCATTTGAAAGATCAGAATAGTATATATGATTTATGATAGGATATTTCTAGATATTAATATGTTTAAAAATATTTTAAGTTATATAAAATTAATACTATAATTGAATGAATAGATTGAAGTAAATATGTACCATTGAAAATCATTTCATTGGTCTAATAATAGATTTCTTGTTGTTGTTGTTGTTGTAAACTTTGAAATTTATATGTTTTTATCTTTAATCGAGTTATGAGTATATACCGTTGAAAACTTATTTGAGATATATTGTATATTTGAGAGTAATCACTTTGTAAATACACCTTAATTAACTTAAATTCTGAATGATCTACATCAAATGAACTTACTTAGAATACTGAGAAATCAATAATTGTAAATAGATAAATTAAAAACGAACAATTATATGTGAGACAAGATTAAATGCTTTACTTTTGATCTTTACAACAATTCAACAATTGGAAAATGTCAGGAAAAAGGCTTCAAAGATGATATTAATTATTTTCACTTGATCTGTTAAGTGTATAAGCAATCATTCAAGTTTTATTCTCTTGACGTTGCAAAATAAATTAAACTTGATATCGCGGTATATATATATATATATATATATATATATATATATATATATATATATATATATATATCAATAGTTGAAATCATGAGTCAATTAAAGATAGACCATTATGGAAAGCCTGAAAGCACTGGACTAATGGTTAAGCGCTCGTGCACGAGACTGATAGGTCCTGGGTTTGAATCTCGCGAGGAGCGGGATCGTGGATGCGCGCTGATGATGAGTACCATACTAGAACGAAATGGTCGTCCAGTGTTTCGAGGTTTTCCCATATCTGTCTAGCTTCAATTGACTCATGACTTCAACTATTGAAATTTCTACGAATCTCCACAAAACCCCTTCTGATATACACAAGTTTGCATACTATTAAAAAAAAGTTGTCAGCTCAACTAAGTCATAATTTGCCTTTTGATGTATTAGACTAAACAGAATAAATAATCAGTCATTTATAGCATATATATTAATGTTTATTATTTAAATCATAATAGAAATTACTTGAACAGTTCACATATCAGTTAATCATATAAAAGGAACTTATCAGTACATCATAATATATTTATAGATGAAAATAGTTGACATTAATGATTATTGTTTCATTGGCATACATAGAAACACAGATATATCGTGAGTTTTATTAATGTTTTCGATACTTTATCCCAGTGATGATAAATGATTGACAAGATTTTGATGAAATGTTGTTTACTGATAAATACATTATGGAGTGATATGTAATTAGATCAACATTTTAATTTGTTAAGGTGTCTACAGAATGTATTTGTCAATAAAAATGGATAACCAAATATCTTTTACATAATATCAAAAGGGGTTTTGTGGATTTCAATAGTTGAGATCATGAGTCAATTGAATCTAGACCACCATGAAAAACCTAGAAGCACTGGACGGCCGTTTCGTGGATGCGCACTAGTGAGGAGTCCCACAATAGGACGAAACAGCATTCCAGTGCTTCCAGGTTTTCCATTGTAGTCTAGCTTCAATTGACTCATTATATCAACTATTGAAATATTTTACGTAACTTGAAAAGTTAATTGTTGTTTTGTTTTATACTTTATTGTTCATTTAACACTTTATGATATGGAAAAGAGATGTTTTCATAATTTCATGTCAGAAAAATCATTGTTTGATATCGATCATAACATATTTAAAATAATTGAGCAACCATTATTCTAGGCAGAAGTGAACTCATCATCTTCAACTCTCATAGATAGCTTAATATTATTAAGTTCCGAGTTGAGAATTCAACCGTATACGTTGCCAAATTCAAATAATAATGATAAAAATATAAATAAATTCACCTTTTAAATACTGAAATATTTCATTGTAACAATAAGTAAAATCCAGTTCTGTCATATTAAAGTGAAATTTGATTATTCCGCATAACAATTAATAATAAATAAGTTTGTTTAAAAATTTCTAACTGAATTTGAATATAACAAAAGGAGTTAGATTAATTATTAAGAGAATCTGCATAAATGCATCATTCGAAATCATATTATTAACTTCAATTTAACACTGAAATCCATGCTGATCGTCTCGTTAGTTATATAAATGATTTCTTATTTTACATATTTTATTATGAGATGTAATATATTCGTTAGTGACTAACTGATTGATGAACAGGTAAACGAACTAAACAGTAGAGAATACTGGAGTGCGCATCCACAATCCCGCATTCGGGCTTCAAACCCTGCACTTTCGGTCTCGCGCACGAACGCTAAACCCCTTATCATTGAACCGGTATTCAACGGTGTTAATGTCTTACTTCAACCAATTCACGATGTCACATGACCATCTTTCATTGTCCTCGGTTGGTAACTGCCTCACACCTAACACAGTTGAACTTCACTGGTCGGACGACATCGTGGATTGATTGAAGTTAGACATTGATATCGTTGGATGTGGGTCCATAGGTCTAGTGGTCAAGTGTTCTCGCGCGAGACCAAAGATGTTGGGTTCGAACCTCGCGTGCGGGATTGTGGGTGTGCACTACTGAGGAATCATATACTAGGGGGTAATGGCCATCTAATGCTTCTAGGTCTTCAATAGTGGTCTAAAATTGATCGCTTCATAATGTCAGTGACATTCACCAATCTCCACAACTCCGAACTGAAAATAGTGAAGAGTAATTGGATGAAATCGTTGATGGTTTAGTGAGTTCTTACTTATGATAGCCAGTAGAGTTAACTTATCCAAATACTGATATGGATTTATACCTTGAAAGATTTTAGTCACTAGTTAGTTAACTGAACAATGACAAAAATCAATGAAGCTTATGCATAAAAGTTTGAATTTATGAATTTAGATTAACTGATCAAATGATACATTGATTACTGAAAACTCATAACTTCTCAGCTCTCTCAGGTTTAATGATTTATTTGCGCAGAACTGACGTTGAAGTTGTTAACCTTAACAAAAACAACTATGTATGATGAGTTTGTTGAAAGTATTTCTTAATAACCAAAGTGGTAGCTCTTAAAAATCACAATTTTTTATAAGTTTTTTATATTAATAATTTAATTAGTCTGACTTTATTTCAGAATGGTGCTCCATATAAAAAGCAAACACTCAATTTATGTCGAATGGTAGGTTTTGGAAATGATTTATTACTATTTGTTTTAAATATTTTCTGTAATGATAATGTTGAACTCTCTAAGGTAATTGGTTTCATTTAATAGCCTTATGTAATATTCTGGAAAATATCATCAGTACTCACTTCATGAAGACATCTGTTAGTTGGTAAGAATATAGCGTAATTGTAATAAAATATAATATTATTCTGAAGGTCAATCATTATTACATAGTACATGTTTTCGTCGTGAAAATTAGGTGAATTCTTTTGAATTCATGATTTTGAATTTCACTTCCCATCGGAGTTGACCTTATATATTTATATAATTGGATCGATTTATATTAAACCACTAAGGAAAACCTGGAAACAATAGATGGCTGTTTCGTTTCAGTATCGGCCTACTCATTAGTGCGCATTCACGATTCCACAGGCGCCGTTCGAACGCAACACTTTTTGTCTCCCACACAAACGAGTAACCTTTACATCAACCAATCCACAATTTATGAATTCAAGTATAAAATTACTACCATTTCCACAAACTCTCATCCTGATATAGATAGATCGTTAAGTGTTTCATATGGACATAATGTATGTACAGTATTTTTAGTTTCAAATAGTTTTTTTAATATAAATAAAATCAACGCATTGATAATGAAAAAAGGAAAAAAATCTATTTAATATTTAATTTAGCTTCCATATCGTTTCAAAAGTTTTTAAAATATTTAGAAGTTTATAAAATTTTAAAGTGATTTCAATAGTTGAAATCATGAGTCGATTGAAGCTAAGCCAACATGGAAAACCTGGAAGCACTGGACGGCCGTTTTGTCCTAGTATGGGACTTCTCAGCAGTGCTCATCCACGACCCCGCCTCGTGAGATTCGAACCCAGGACCTATCAGTCTCGAGAGTGAACGTTTAAATACTATACCATTGAGCCGGCCAGCATCCAACGGTGTTACTGTCTAACTTCGACCAATCCATCTGAGGAGTCTCATTTTAGGACGAAACGGTCGTCCAGTGCTTCCAGGTTTTCCATAGTGGTCTAGCATCAACTGATTCATGATTCCAACTATTGAAATTTCTAAAACCTCCATAAAACCTCTTCTGAAAATCATAAAGGTAGATCATAGAGTGGTTTCATCATTGTCTGTGTTGTGGTGATCCATAAAACTTCTCGCAAAATACAAGAAATGCTCATAAAACACTAAGAAACATTTCATCTAATCAACGTTCATTTGAAGTTTTAGCCAGAAACATATAGAAAATGAAAAATTCCATGTCGAGTTTCTGATTGGCTGATTACTATACTGCTACTGTGTTTAATAGCATTCCAGAATCTTCGGGAAACCCAACGGCATCTAAAATACTGCAAAACCCAATATTTTCTGCACTAAAACGAACCTTTGGAGTAAAGTGCTTCTCGCGTATTTTCTCTCGTGTTCAGATCGCTGTGTAGTTTTAGCTTGAGGGTTACGAGGATAGCTTAGGAAGCGAATATAGCGTTCAATTAGCAAGACTTATCAGTCCGGAGATGATCAACTAATGGGATTGGATAATTCATGTTTTAGTATTAGAGAAAACAGAATTGTAATTAAACTTAAAGTTAAAATTTGATTCTTTTAAATTTTTTATGTAATATAAAATTATTGAATAAGATGGCTGTGACACAATACTTAATAATAAATTAAAGAACGTAAATTTTCTCAAGAATTAAGTATAATACCTTTTGAATTCGATGAAATACTGATTAGAATTAATGAAGTGAAATGTGAAGTATCCGCTATAGTGATTAAAGTTCGTTTGATGGAATCAATGTACTATAGGGTAACAAAGTAACTAGTTAAACATTTTCTTCCCATTATGAATGTATTTTGTTTTTATCATAAAATATGTAATAAATCTATAAATATTTTGGTAAATATATTTTAGATGATTGATCATTGTAAAGAAATTGAAGCGAATAATTCCAAACGATGCAGAGAACTTTTAGAGGTAAGTATGATGCAGTATTGTATATAGGGTATCTTACAAGATTTAATTTGTATCCAAAGTTACATTTATTCATTATAGTATTATTGTTTTAACTGATTTGAAAACGCTGCTTTGTTGGGCTACATATACCTATAAACCTGAGACAAATAGTCCATGGCCACATAAACTGATTTTTTTATTATTCTGATTTTGTTTCGTATTTTGCTATAATAATACTTGTCTAGCGTTGTACACCTTCATGAATGGTAGGTACGCATACGCACTATGTATAGAAACCTAGAAATCGGATAGTTTCATAAAATCACCAACTAACCTAACTAGTTTTGTTCACTATTTTTTTGAAATGTAGTGAGATTGTGTACATAAATGAAATGAACAAATCACTCTCTTATATTATTTTTGATTGACAGTAAGGTAATGAAGAACTAATCTTTTAGCAAGACTTTAGAATTTCAACTGATAAGAGATAATGCTAAAAGTGCTTTTATTATTATTCAATCTTCCTGCTAGTCTCTAAACTTTATCATTGGCTACGTTGAACAGAATTATGTTACCTATTTGCTTGAAATGGATAATATTGTCTTCAAATAGGGAAATGTTCCGGTTAAAGCCAAACAATGATAAATTAATCTCCGGATCGTAATAAAAACTAGTGAGTTAACAGGTTTTGAAAAGGAGCTTTCAATTCTTTCCTAAACAAAAAAAGAGAATTTTAGTTAAAGGTCTTAGCTAGCGAATTTCTATGAACTTAGTTGATAAAATGCTCAATGGCAAATATTCAAATCTGTTTATTGTTGTGTGATGTAGTTCAACAGCTGTAAGATTTTAATGATAATCAGATGTTTTCATTGATGAACCCATCTAATTAATATACTATGTTTTGTGATTTATTTAACAATCTACAAAGTGTTATTTTTGAATACACGGTAGTGAGGTCAATGAATTTTCTATATTTAATTCACATAGACAGTTACCTCTTTCATCAAAAAATCGTTCGACATCCCTAAATGAACTTTCAGTGTATCTTGTTTTCGATTTTAGGAAGTAATTGTGTCGTTACATTTAATAGAATAGCATTTTGATTAGTTTGGATGTAGTCAACAGTACGTGTAATTAGTTATCAAAAGTAAAAGACTTAAATTAATTTTACATTTCGACCAAAAATTGCATTTTTTTGCAGAGCTTTCACTCAAGTAGTTAAATCCTGGATGATTTTATCTTACGTGACATGAATAGGGAATAAATATTTTAATAATAATAATAATAAATTAACTCTTCTTGATAACATTAGCACATCATTTCTAACTCGTTTATATGCTCCTGCTACTTTTTGATAAAGCTTAAATCTTGCTATTAGTTACTTTTTCTACATTTAATGATCTTTAGATACTAATAAATTGAATGTACCATAAACGTTCAACAGTTAACATATCAAGACATTTTTGTTGCTTATTTAATCAAGTTAGATTTATTAAGAAGTGTCCATTTTAAATCGTTACCATTAGTTGAGTATAACTCAGATATATTAACAATATTAACTGAAATGGGTTTTTTTCATAGAATCGAGTTGGAATATTTATAAATTCAGTAACTGTTTTCTGTTACTTTATAGCAGTAAAAATCTTATGTATTAGATTAAATATAAAACCTTTTGACTAAAGTTAAATGAAAATTTACGGAATAGAATGTAATTTAATATTCATGTTATTTAGTTGATGATGATTTAACTGGTATCCAAAAGTGTTATTTTAAACAATGATGTATAATTTTGTGGCCCAATATCTGACTTCAGTTAAATCGCATGATGATTGTTGCCGAGATATACATACTGCCAACCCACGTATATTTTTATCGACTAATTTACGTTAGAGAATGATGAAATGAAATAAGCCAGATACGAGAATGAATTTTGGATACGTATATTTCATACACACATTGATCCGGACAGACAATCAAAGAAACGAAGTGATGCTCAGCGGAGAAGGTAAGTGAACCAACTCCATTTGATCAAGCTTGACGCAATATCTATATTCAGACCAAAAATAAGTTACAAACACGTAAAGACTGGGGCAAGCAATTAACACACATTCGATAATATAACAACAGGATTGATAAACAAATAATCAACATAGTCAACATGTGGCCTGAGAAGAATGAATAAACCGGCCTGCCCAGAAACTAGAATAACCTATGTCGGCTTGACATAGTACCATCCACTAAAAAATCCAGCTCTCTTGTAAAAAATGCCAATGACGACACAAACTAACTAACTATCCCTACACTATGAAGTTACTAATGTATTACTAAACACAAAGTTCCTTTAAAAGTTTTTCACCTAAACATTTTACAGCAAACTAGAAATACAATTTATTCCTTACCATGAATTACAATCAGTTTATATACAATAGGTTAATCAACTACAAATGCAAATGTAAATTTTTTTTTTAATTGGAAACTAAAAAAAATAGTAAAATAGTAAATGATAGTAGGATCAATTGAAAACTTATTTTTGACAGTTTATTTTTGTTTTATTTTAACTAACAATATACCAGATAATGAATAATCTGTGGTTAATTAATAAAGATCAAATTTTTAGAATGTATTCTTCCTAATAAACCATGTTTCTATTTCTGTTTTACTGCAAAATTAGTCTTTTAAATGTTATTCTTTATTTTTCATTACATTTCAAATTATTGGTTGAGATCATTAACCGATTGATGTTAGACCACCATTGAAAACTTGGAAGCACTGGACGATTGTTTCGTCCTGTTGTGGGACTCCTCAGCAGTGTGCATCCATAATCTCGCTCGCGGGATTCGAACCCAGAGAATTCAGTCTTGCGCGCGAGCGTTTAACCACTAGACCATTGAGCCGGAATCCAACGGTGTTAATATCTAACCTCAAACGATCCACGAAAATGAGTGACCATCTTCCATTGTACTGAGGTAGATATCTGTTTCTACCCGACATGGATTAGCTCCACTGGTCACATTTTAAATTGTATATTTATTGATAATTAATTTAATGATAAGTTCACTATTTAATAATATAATTGTTTTTGCATTTCTATATGTTTTGTTTCAATGAATTAAGCGAAGTTTCTTGTGATAGATTAGAGGTTGAATAAGGGTGATGATTATTATTTCATAACAATTCGATTTTCATAATTGAAATCTTACATTAGTTAAAACAATATATTTGATTTGTTACAATCTCCTAGGTTTCATTAGTCCAATTTGATGGAGATGGCATCCACAAATAGTTGACAATAATTCTATTTGTTCAAAGAACTTATGTACATTCTTATATAATCTATGGATAAATACGAACAGCTATTTAAAGGACTATATATATTTGGTACTATTCGAAAAAGCGCTATTAACTAAACTAATCGGGTATTACAACCTTCCTACAAAACTAGAAGATACATGACGTCATATTATATCAGTGAGGATAAGTTTAACATATAAGTAAAATGAAAGAAATCAAATAGACAGTTGTAATAATTGATAAAGTGTGATAGATTTAGCCGAAACTTGATACAATGTAATAAATATTATCCAGAAATAATTATATGTGATATCATGTTTGAGAATTAATTGAAAGATTTGTAGGTTAGATGAACAAAATAATAACCTTAAAAGTAAGGCATGTAGATTAGCATGATCTAGTCATATGTATATTAATCCATCGTAATGTTCATCACATTTGTGCTCTAATTGGTTTTAGTAATTTTCTTAGTTGGTGTTGTTTTACATCGTCTTAATTAAGATACAGCTAATATTTATTTTACGTAAACTAGATTAGAAAAGCTTTACAATGAATAGAAATTGTCATTATCCTTATATTTTATCAACCAAAAACGTTTGTTTTAACTAAGTGATGGAAAAATAGTCATTTTATTGCACAGTTCTGTGGTATGAAACATAGTTATATCGAGGAACTATGATATATTTGTAAATTAAAACTCCTTAGGTGTCATTTGTGTGATAATGTGAGTCATTGGACTGTTATTAGTCAAAGGTCAGAATGGTGGAGAGTATTATTGTCTCCATTAGATTGGTAAAAATAGCAATAAACCGGTTAGCTGACATGAAATAGCCTGTTGAGAGTACGAGCAAATCTAAAACACAACCATTAAGAACTAGGAAGGACTGAACGACTGTTTTTTTCCAGTATGCGACTCCTCAGCAGTGAGCATCTACAACCCAGGAATCAAACCCAAAAATAGGTGGATTTAAACGCAAATGTTTAAATCCGATACCACGGAGCCGGTATTCAACGGTGTACATGTCCAACTTCATCCAACTAACGTATTGCGTGATCTCCTCCGATTGTCTTTAGTTGGAAAACACCTGAGAGATGATACAGTTGATCTTGATTAGTCACAGTTTTTCTACAAGATTTAACAGTCTTCACAGCCCTATACTGATTAAAATATCAACTTTCTTAACCGAAAGATAATTTGTATCGGTCAATTTTGTTCATTTATTTAGACAGTGGTTAAATAACTTCATCTGTTTCTAGTTTATCACTATATTAACATTTCAATGTAGATGGAATATTCCTGTATTTGTAATTTAATCAAACTTTCAAATCTTATGAAAAAAATATCTTACATTTTAATCATTTCATGTTGTCTGATTATATTAAATACACTGAACGATAAATTTTATTTCAAGCTGATATTGTGGAGTGTGTTTCTGATGTTGACAGATATAAGTAGTGTGCATCACTAAACGAAACTGGGATGTCTGTAGGCAGAAAGTTGAGAAAAATCGAATAGAACAGAACGAGAACAGTCAGTGATTAGTGTGGAAACGAAGGAACAACAAAGTCTGAGACAATTGATAGACATACTGCAAATGAAGTATTTACTGTTTGGTTGTGAGATTTTACCAAGATATTCTGAAATGTATTAAAATAAGTTTTGGTTGTCCTCACTAATATTCTCGTTCACAACATTATTACTACAACTACAGTTACTACTGTAATTCATAATAATGAATATATTTTCGTACGCATAACAAATATCACTTAAGGCAATTTCATTCTTTTGCTACATTCAAACCGAATATTGATCGCAAACAAATACTTTTATCGTTTTTATACCTATCTACCTACTTATTTGTTAACCGTCCCCATATATATATATATATATATATATATATATATATATATATCGTAACTTTCGCCTTGAATTTTTGTTGAAACATTTTATGTTGTCTTATAGCTTACCCCTTTTGTTAAATAACATGTATGGGTAAATATGTGTGAATCTGTTTATGTTTATAGATATATTCATGTATATATATAGTAGCTAATTTTGAAATAGTACAATTTATAATGTATCTATAGAAGCATTGTGCGTTTGCGTTCATGATTGCTTGCTTATTTGTTAGCTAGATCATGGGTGCTACGATTATCGTTGTTCCTATATATATATATATATATATATATATATATATATATATATATATATATATCCTTTAGTTATTCAGTAGACAGATGGACAGAATTATGTAAAAACACATATCTAAAGATTTAAATATCTGACATAGTTATCGTCAGTGATTTTTGTGAACAGGTTAACCTCTTAACAAATGACAAATGTTAGTGCTGGTGAGATTGCTGTTAATAAGTTTATATTTAGCATATATATATATATATATATATATATATATATATATATATATATATATATATATATATATATATATATATATATATATATATATATATATATATATATATATGAACATAGAATATATTTATATGATCTTATGTGCATTACTTTTTTTTCTTGTATGAACACATGCATTTTTTTTATCGTTTACATAATCATTTTGTTTCAGCTGTACACCCTGCTATATCCATATATGTATATATATAGAACAATTTGCTTACATAATTGAAATACTCTATTGCATATTTCTCTGTATATATATGTATATATTACTATTCATCCTAATGATACTAAAAGGAAAAAAAACAGGTTTGATTTTCTTCCTAAAGGTTAATGTGTTTATGTATTAGGTTACAGTTTTATTTATTCCATTATTAAAATAAGAAAAGAAATAAAATAACTGTACACAAATATAAATGCTTAGCAATAAATATGTAGTGAAGTCATTTAAAAAGAAAAAGAAGAAAAAAAAACTTTTATTATTCCATACATTTTACATATAGTAACATTTTAAGTAGTATACATTAAGATTTGGTTAATAACCTGTATAAATATTCAATCTAAGATTGGAAGATATGATATTGGGTTTTTTTTTGTTGTTGTGTAGAATAATTCAATTTCTCCATGTCATTTATTATTAGACATAAACTTTATTTGAATAAGAACACATTAAATTATTGGAATATTTTTTTGTTTCGACTATTAAACTAAAGAAAGTTTTCTAGATAAATGTCACTTGTTTTATTATACTATTCAATTGGCGCCAATTTTATAATGAATAAAATCAATTCATATTATGAACCAGTCAAGTCACTTTTTTTTGTTCGTTTTTTTTTCCTAAAAATTATTGATCAATGTTTATATTTTAAGGAATTAAATTTGATTTTTTATTATAAAAATAAACATGTTTGTATATTGTAATTCTATTCTATTCTATTCTGTTCTATTATTCTGTTTATTTATTTATTAAATAACTGATTGAATGATAATTCAGTACAAATTGTTACCTTATTGTTATTGTTTTAAGAGAACTAATATATAAAGGTATTTTAATAATAAAATAGATTTTAGTTTCAATTAGTTAATAATGAATAATATGTGGTTATTAATGAGAAATTAGGCTTTATGTTTCGCTTACTTATGGAATTGATCAACTACATGAACCTATGATATCATAGTTATCTTGAGATAATTTTCATAGGATTCATATCGGAAAATGAAGATTGATTGAAATTCAATTGAAATATTAATAAAAGGATAAATTAAATCATGACAAATTGAATTGAAGTAATTTTACATTAGATGAAATCAGCTTTAACTAATAGCTGAACATTTTTGTAATGTAAATTATGAACTGAACTAATAAAAACAGTTGAGAATCAAAAATTATTGAACAGTGATAGGTTTTTAATATATGAATTTCTTTAGCAATACTTATCATCAACTTCACTAAGGAATAAACCCAGTACAATTAAATATTGGAATGAGCAGCTAATATTTAAACAACTAAGTTGGCATTCAATGGTTTATAAGCATAATTTCAGTTAACATACATTATCACACGACCTTCGTCCATTGTCATTAGTGATATTTGTCTCATTCACATGGTCGAACTTCATTATTCATGGTTATTACTGGAACTGGGCATCTGGTTACGTTATGTGTTGGACATTACTACTAATTTTTTTTGTACATTTGGTAAAAAATTCCCTCTGTAATTCTAATATTTTTACACTTGTAGCGAATTTATATGCTTTGCATTTCTTTGGTGAATAACATGTAATTTGTAACTACCCATTTTGTTTGAAATAATATTTTGTGTTAGACTGTAAAATTCACAAGACTGTGACCCGACTGAATTTTGATCGATATTGCAATAGACTAAAGTACATTAACAACAACATAAACTTCAACATTTAAAATTGTGAACAAAATGTAAGCTGGTTCGACCAACAAACCAAGTACAAAACGTAACGTAATTATATATGTAAATTCAAATTGCAACCATAAAATCAACTCAAGTTATTATTTCCCTTATATTCCTGGTTATTGATATTTCATCGTTTTCATTACCATCGATTTGTTACTTCAACAGATTTCTAAAGACTGTAAATGATCTTTTAATATTATATTTAGCGGTTACAGAAACAATCTTGAACTATTAGTCAGTAATAAATATTGAACTATTCTGGTTGTTTGTTATTTTTTAACTTTAACATTGGTTGATTACTATACTTCTTAAACCATCCAGTCTTGAGGTATAGCTAAATAGTTTAGCTTGATTATTGCCTTATTCCCTGACCGATGCTTGTCAGATTAGTGGGAACGAGGGATAGTTTCCTTAAATATTTTTCTCACAATTCTATGTTTAACACAAATATTTAAAATATGAAGTATGTTCTGGAAAGAACTTAAGCTTCCAGTCTGTTTAGCTATATTTGCGATTATAGCGTATAAACACATCTCTTTTATCTTAGAATTGCATAAGCACAGTCACGTCTATTTAAAAGTCTTCTCATAAGTGAAGTTGATTATTTTTATGCACCAAGTGATCAATTAAGCTCCTAAATAAGTGATTCAATATTAAAGTAAACGCTCACATTGATTTCATCTTAGACTCAGTATTTCGAAGGAAGCACTACCAAAAGATGAAAATAATAATATAATTCAAGTCAATATCTGATATGAAAAACAATTTTATTTTAGAAATTGTACATAGAACTCGAATTGTAATTGTCACTTTAGCTACGTTGTAAAGTGAAAGATACTTCATGATTTAGTAGCTTAGTCTGATGAGTAAGATAAAATGTCTTTTTACAAAATTCATACATTTAAAATTCTTTCATTCAAATCTACAATCAATTTCTCTCAAACTCTGTTTCTTAATGACTGAATTTCTTTTTCAGTTATAACATACCTTATTTTCTGTATTAACGTGTTAACTAACGTTAAATAACTAAATGAAACATTTTTAATTTCGATAGTTGAGATCATGAGTCGACTGAAGCTAGACAAACATGGAAAACCTGAAAGCACTGGAGTGCTGTTTCGTCCTATAATGGGGCTCCTCATCAGTGCGCGTCCACGACCCCGCCCCGCAGGATTCGAACACAGGACCTATCAGAACAAAACGGCCGTCCAGTGACTCATGATCTCAACTACCGAAATTACTACAATCTCCACAAAACCCCTTCTGAAACATTTTTACTTCAATAAATGAAAATTACCAATATATCAGTTTTATTTCAAAACTTTTAAACTTAATGTTACAGCAAATGAAAGTCGCTTATAGGTTTTGCCAATATAAAAAAATTATTGTATAAGAATTATGCTTTTGTAAATTCTTTGACATGTTTCCCCCTAACGTTTGTCAGTAATTCTGACCTAGTAAATCTCTCTTAATTGATATAAAAATACTTCCGGACTTTTCTAGATATTTATTTGTTCGCAAAATCCAAACTGTCAAATATATATATAAGTATTCTTTCTCATTTTTAAAGTATTGTTTTTAACATGATTGACTTTCATTGTTCCATATTTAGGTATTAAATCGTCAACGTACTTTATTTGAAAAAACCAGGAAATTTCTTAAAGACAAATGGAAAGCAGATGTAAAACGTATGTTAGATGCTGAAAATAGTTTGTTTAAAACAAAAACAACATATTATCAACGTTGTCAAGCTGGTGTAAAATTACGTGAAGAATTAGCTACAGCACAAAATCTTCTAAATGAATTATCTGCTTCTCTTATGCAATCGTCGTCAGTTTCATTTAGTGGTACATCTACGTCAACAGGAACAACACCATCATCATCATTTTCATCTGTTACGATAATGCCACCTACACAAACAAATGTATCAGGTGAATTATTTAATTATGATAGATAATTATGTCAAAAAAATCTTTTTTAGGTCTACCTGTTTATACTGCTGGGAATTCATATTCATCGAATCTAATGAGCTCAGCTGCTGGAAGTAATGCAAATTTAACACAAGATTTAATGAATGATTCAAATATTGGTGAATCAAATCTATCAAATCCAACTTCATCATTATCAACTTCTACATCAAACCAAGTTGCTAAACAAAGAGTAAAAGTTGAACGATTAGAAAAACAATTGGGTGATAATGATAAAAAGGTAAATAATGACAATCATAATAAGTAGTAATAATTTCCCTCAACTTACTGTAAGCGATGTCTAGTCGCATAAACTAGTACTCGAATGGTAACTTGAAAGATAGAATTCGATTAGCATAAAAATGAATTTGACAAACATAATTATGGTCATCATTCAGTGACTTATCATTGCTTTTTTGAATCGTATGTGAAACCAATCACAGCAAGATAAATAAGCAGTTATGTTTAAGATGGAGAATTTGATTGTCAAGCAATAAAATACTCCTGACAGTAAGTTCCTTTAGTAGTACAGGTCAAACATTATAATAAACATAAAATAACAAGAAACTTAGACCGATTATGGTGGATTACATGTTGAATTATTCACAATTAATAATCAATTATAAACCAGTGTTTAATTATTAACTAGTTAGATTCTCAATGTGTTCATATGTTTTTATTGTATCCTTATTATTTACTATATTTTTTCTTTAAAAACTAAAAAAGAAAATGAAAACACCAATTCTTGTTTGTCATGTATTATACAATTTCGTTTTATTCTAACAGGAAATTGAACTAATGTATGCTTATCGTGAAGCAGTAGATATTGCCAATCATCGTTTATGTGAACTGGAAAAAAGCAAGGTAGATTATAAGTGTATTTATTTATTTATTTTAACACATAGATATTGGTACAAGGAGACACCAAATACATATGCACCACACAAATCTCATTCGATATGTGTGAGGGCCGTGATACTGCCCGGTTGCTCAAACCGAATCAAGTGGTTTTCTTAGGGGGCCACTCCCCGAGACTTTGACCTAATGGTCTAACCCACAAGGCAGTGGAGCATCGTAAGGGGAAGCAGTCCCACGGAAGCCGGTGACCAACAGTTGGTTCATACGCCATTTGTTCCCGCAGGATACTGGAGCCCATGTGCACCATTGATTTGGAATCCGGCTAAAGCGCCGGACATTCGCTTTTCGTCCTCCCATTTTCGTAAACAACAGTAATGCCACGAGAAGGCAGTGAGTAGGACTTCCCTGGCAGAGGCTATATACCCGTGGCCATGTGAGAGCATTTCGAGAGGGAGAACGAACTCTCCTCACTCTTGGCCGTACCAGGGCATTTGGGGGCAGGATTAAGTTCTAAAAAAGAAAAAAAGAAATCGTTTTACTTTGTTTAGGTATTTATTAATACTTTTTTCAATATTTTCTGTAATAACAAAGGATTCTAACCTTGAATAACAATTAATCACTATGGAAGAATAAAAATAACAATTATAAATATTTTGATTATGAAAATATACGATGAATTTATTAAATAAAACATAGCTACTAAATAGATATTCATTAAAATCTGTTAGGTGATTGATTAGTTCTACTGAGTTAAGATCGATTTCATTTTAGGATGTGGAGAAACATGTTTAAACGAACACACAAATTAGAAGTGATATTTTGATCAGCGGTCAATCGAACTTATTATTTAGTCAAGGTCATTTAGATTGAAAACTATAAAAATCCAACAGCATGAGAATTACGAGCATCTTTTACAATTATTGTTACCGATCTTACACGTGTATCTGGTTAAGAATACATACAGATGATTGACCACATTTTATAAGTAAGAAAGCATGCATATGTAATAAGGTAACACCAGAAAGCTAGAGATTTAAAAAATGAATTACGAAGTAGTGATAAATGTCCGTCCATGTTAATTGCTCGACACCCAGTCACAAAATGTTATATCTCTGATCAAAACTCAGATTTCATAGAGTAGTATAAATTTGCTTTAAAATGAAATTTCAGCCGTATGAAAATTCTGGCTTTCCCTCTTCTTGTGAGATTAAAACAGTTTTTGCTTATACTGAACTTACCTATGACAATATTCACTCTAATTTAATGATTATTTTTAATTTACAGCTTGAGTGAGAAAACGTTTCTTGTAGTCATCTCCTCATTATGTGTATATTTAAAAATTGAGTATAAAATCAATACTGTTCCGATATTCAATGTTCAAAACAAAAGATTTTTTTCCCTTCACAGGGATCATCAGTTTTCTCAAGGTTGTAGTTAGACTTCGTTGACGAATGTCAACTAACATAAAACCAAAGTTCTGTGTTTTTCACCAACTATATTCAATCATCTAACGATCCAATACCTTGAAAAACCATATAGTCTATTGATCTGTGTTGTAGGGATAAAACTGTCTTTATATTCTAATACTTTTTTGCAAATAACGAAGAGTAATTCAAGCATCTGACCAAGAAGTGGTTATCATAAATGGTTTTTGACATCAACCAATAACAATGTAAATAACATTGATAAAATCTGTTATTAAAGTGTTGAACAAGACGGATACTAATAGATAAAAACAATAAACTGATTAGCTGTCAGTATTCATGATTTAGATTAGTTTAATGATATAATAGTATATCATATACCTATCTTGCAACACATATTAGATAAGGAAAACTAAAAGATATTTTGGTTAGTATTAATAAATTAGGTATGTCAAACATCTTACACACTTTTTTATTGAGATCATGAATCGATGAATGTTAGACCACCATTGAAAACCTGGAAGCACTGGACGGCCTTTTCGTCCTGGTATAGAAATCCTGAGCGGTACACATCCACTGTCCAAAGCGCAGGACTAAAACGTAATATCTAATCCGTGTCAAGTAGAGACAGGTATCTACCTCAGACAATGGAAGTTGGTCGAACGATTTCGTGAATTGTTTGAAGTTAAACATTATTACCGTCGGATACCGGTTCAATAATCTAGAGACGAAACGTTCTGGGTTCGAATCTCGTGTGTAGGATCGTGGATGCGTACTGATGAGGAGTTCTACACTAGGACGAAAAGGCCATCCAATGCCTCTGGATTTTTAGTGGTAGTCTAACATTTATCAATTCATGATCTCAATCAAAAACTTGACAATCTCCATAACCCCACAATGACCTTACTTATTGTCAGTAATGAATCAGTTAAGTATACATAATCAACTCTTATATATTATCACAAATCATTCTGAATAGTTGATTTGTAAACTGAAGTGCTAAGAAACATAGATTTGATTAAAGTAACTCAATAATCACTTTAACATCGTCCTTAACTCTTTCCTCAATATGATCACCATTATTCCATTTTTCCAATAACATTTTACAGTTCAATATAAAAAGCTGAACAAAAAAAACATTGTCAATCATTAGTCAGTCAACAATTAATATATATTTTTCTTTAGTAACTTTACTGTGATCATTTTTTTAGGAACCATAAATAACGGTTAATCATTCTAGTCTCTTGAAAATAATAAAAATCAATATGGTAATTAGCCGAAGCTAAAAATAACATTTAGACAGCCTTGATAAATCAATGTGAAACATTAAATGAAATTGTGTATAAACAAAAAAGATAATGTACAATTTTCGAAATAGATCATCATAAAATTACATGTCATTTATTAATATTGAATTAATTCATTTATCAATTAAATATGATAACCCTTATGAATTCGTTGATTATCTAATATCAGTAACTATTTACAATTTAGATATAAGGCTATATTTATAAATATTCTTTAATTAATATAATCGATGCTAGATATTAACACCGTTAGATGCCGGCCAGCTCAGTGGTCTAGTTGGTTAAGCGCCTGACGCGAGACTGGCAGGTCCTGGGTTCGAATCACACAGGGAGTGGCATCGTGGATGCGCACTGCTGAGGAGTCCCATACTAGAAGGAAACGGTTGTCCAGTGCTTCCAGGTTTTCCACGGTAGTCTAGTTTCAATTGACTCATGATTTCAACCGGTGAAATTTCTGAAATCTCCACAAAACCCATTCTGATAATAATCAATGTTTGTCAGATTTTTCTTTGTCATTAATCATACATAACATGTTACGTAACAGAAAAAATGACTTCTTTTCTTTGATGTAATCCAATTTTGTAAATTATCGTGAATATTATTTACTATAATTGGGATATGTTGTGTATTAGTAGATCAATGTGTATATTACAAATTTTCATTTGGTAGAAGAAAACAAAAACCCATAGTTAAACATTTAAACTATACATAAGTCAATAGGAGTTATAAATTCTATGAACGATTTATTTGAATTGTAAGTATATGATTTTATTTGTCTTAATAATTATTGATATGAAGTATAAACCATAACATTAAAACATACAACACTAGAAAATATTTCCCAATAATTGGTTTCTATTTTGATAAGTCTTGTCGATATTTCCCGAAATCCCTGTCGCCACTGATAAGTCTTTTGGATTGAACGGTACTTATTATGTTTGGTTGTAGCTGATTGTTATGTCGGAAACTCTTATCACTTATACTCGGAACGAGGGACCTCTGCAATTCCCACGACGCGAAAGTAAGAACACAAAAACTGGTATTAGTAATGATTTATTAACGCCAAAACACGACGACGATGATTCTAGTAGAAAATACACTCATTTATACACTGATTGTACACCCATTTTTTGATTAATAATTAAAATGAAATCACATATATGAAAAATACTTAGAGTTCTAAGAAATCACATACTGAGCATAGTTCATGTTGATGTAACACAAGAATATTGTATATTATACAGAAGAAAATATCATACAAGAAATGACAATAAATACTACACTGAACGATCATCACATCGAATCAGAACGGAAGTTGTGTTGAACAAAACTCACAGTTAGTAAATCAATCGAAAATTAACTTTTCTTCCCATCATATCACCTCCCCTTCTTTTTTTGAAAACTCAAAGTTGAGATCCTGACTTTAAACTTTCTGATTTTATCCCCCCCCCCATGAAATGATAGATTTTTCATTTGTATTCAGTGATTCGAACTGTATCACGCTTAATTCGATTGAATCATATAGGTCACTTATTGAGAAAATGAATCAATCCGTAATTGTTGAAAAGTGTGTCTGGAGATATGACAGCAACGAAGTGCTTGTAGTCGCTCTTTTTCTTCCACTTCATTTCCATCTTGATTTTCAAAGTCATCTTAAGCATTAGGTTTCCTGATTTGAATTATATGCCCCCTTTCTTCGTTTCATAAGCCTTTGATATTTTTTATGCTAAATCATTTGTTTTATACGGTATTAATATCTTGTTTTTTATTGATATAAATTTAGCTAGTTGAATACTGCACAATTGTATCAGGTCTTATGTTGTTATAGGTTAATTTAATCTTAGTAGATAAGCTGTCATCTATCATTTTAAAGTTGATAGACCTTTTTCTAGTGAATATTTCTTTTAAAACATTATAAAATTAATCCAGAACAGAAGCCTGTTGTTATCAGTAATGTTATTCATTCGATTAGTTTGTGAACAGTTAATCTGTGTGTAAAACATCTTTTTTTCATGATTTAAGTCTAGCTAAAGTACGGTTGATAAACAGGAATTAAAAAGTACTGATTTGATCTAACATATGACTTATTAACATAGCGATCTCTGTATCCCAGACACGTTTTCATTCAAAGAAAAATAATCTGTTTAACGTTTCTTGCTCTCTATATCATATATAAATAAATTTAGTTCACAATTAGCTAAAACACATGTTTGATGTTGTGTTCTTCGAAGTGAATTGCTCTCTTATGTAGCTTATAGTTGAATTTGTAATCAGTAGAGCGAAACTTGAAACAAAAGATTTCCTTCTATAGTTCACAGTCTGTAGCGTTGAGTTAAAACAAAAAACTTTAAATCATTCACTGTCAGCCCAAAGATTACAACAATACAACAACGATATGGTTCTGAAATTTTAAAAAACTTACGTTCTGTCACAGTAGGAAGTTATCAATGATAATAATTCATCAATGAACTAATGTTAGACCATCACTGAAAACATGAAAGCACTGAATAGCCATTTCATCCTAGTATGGTACTCCTCAGCAATCTTCATCCACGATCCTGCATATGAGACTCGAAACCAGGAACTTCGGTGTCGTGCGCTAACGCCTAATCTCTAGATTTACATTCTGATCATAAACAAATGAAAAAAAACACTAACACTGATCAGCTAATTCTTGTTAATATATTTTGTTTTATGTTCATTAGTTAATAAAAATACTGTTTTAATTCATTATTACGCAATCGTTGAACAATGATTTACATTATTCTTATTATTACTATTATTGTTTTGATAATAATATTTATCCTTATTGTTACTTTTAAAAATTATAGATTGAAATTTTATGCGATACACGTTTAACCATAACAAAAAGTGATGAAGTTGTTAAAGATTCTTTAGCAGAATTATTAAATCATTTGTTTACAACTCGTTCATTAATGATAAAACAGGTAAATTATGAAAACTATACAACTGATTCTAACAATTTTCATTTGTATCATTTATATTGAACATTTAATTTATATGTAAATGATTTGAAAACTTATTGTAAGTAACTGAATAACAAAGATTTTAATATCTAGTTCTAGCACTTATGAAGTAACAATATTGATATGTACAAAGAATAAAATGGATTCATTGTTTGTTTGTTTTTCTTATTTTATATTCAGTTATAACTTAAAATAACTTGAAATGTTTATAATTATTAATTAACTAATAATTAATAATTATTACTATGCAAGGTTTATTAGGATTATTGAATGTTACTGAGATTACGCAATGAATAATCATTTGAAAACCAATTCCTTACTTGAGCTCTAGTCAGAAGTTGTGGTCAGTGGAATTCAATTCTCTTAAATGATAAACAGTTGCTCATTCAAAGATAATCGATGATGATTCTAAAATACAGCTGATTAGTTGAGATGAGATATCTCAACATTTGAATGCCAGTTCAGCAGTAAAACGGTTAGGCCTACCCTGTGAGAACTGTAGGTTCTGTCTTCAATCTCTAATGAAGTCGTATGTATACAAAGCTTTGGAGCTCTGAACGAAAACCAAACAACTGTCTAGTTTTTATAGTTTCCACTGGTTGCTTAATTCAGCTAGATTTGGAATCTTAATGAAGAACAAGCTATCTGGAATGTAAAAGAAGTCAAGAGTTAAATTATTTACCGAGTTTTAAATTTTTTTATGATGATGATTTTAGAAGAATCAAAGTTAAACCCTAAACCCTCTGACTACTATGACTTCCACGAATCGTATTGAGATACAACTGTATTACTCGTTAATCACCTAGATAGCATTTCTTGTATGGTCTTTCCAGTTTACAATTGCTTTCTATCCCTCCTACTATTTTCTTCAACATACTACTTATCTCTGTTAGCATAAGTCTCATACACCACACATATTATTATTAGTAACTCAAACTTATACATACATTAACACACACAATCATTCATACCTTTATCTTCACATTGTGAACTTTTCACATAATTCGCACATAACTTACTCATGTTATACTACTTACTAAAGTTAACAACTGAATATGTTTAGATAAGCACTTAATATAGATTTGATTTGCTTAATAAACATGATATATTTCTTTAATAATTTTGATTATGATTATCTGTTTGAAGAAGTTTAAACAAGTTTTCTGGACAATACTTTTATAAGTAGTAATTCCAATAACAATATTGTATATGTATGAAATGAATAGAATAATTCTTTAAATGATCTATTTATAATATAAAACTATTATTTGTCGTAAGCTTTCAAAAACCAGTATGAAACTATCACGAAATAGATAATATTTATTCATTTCTTTGTTTGAGACAGTTATGACTATATAGACTATTACGCTCAGTAATGATAACTAACAATATCATTACTAAATATTAATAAGCTGGTAAACTGTAAACAAAAGCTTTTCTAATTTTTCTAAAAGAAAATCAGGTACATTTTGACCTTCATATATTAAAATGTATTATCTTTACTTACGCGTTTTACTCCCAATGAAGCATAGGCCGCAGACCAGCATTCTCCAATCCACTCTGTCCTGGACCTTCTTTTCTAGTTCCATTCAATCCTTGTTCATTTTTCTCATGTCTATCTCCATTTCCTGGCGTAATGTATTCTTTGGTCTTCCTCTTTTCCTTTGGCCTTCAGGATTACAAGTTAGGGTTTGTCTTGTGACGCAGTTGGGTGCGTTCCTCAATGTGTGTCCTATCCACTTGCAGCGCTTCTTCCTGATTTCTTCCTCCACTGAGATCTTATTTGTTCTCTCCCACAGTAGGTTGTTGTTAATAGTGTCCGGCGATCTTTAATTAGTGTTAAATGATTGAAAGTAATCATCAGGAAACTCATTAAATGGATGTTATACTAATTATTCATCAAACTGAAACTTTATATAGGAGTCGAATCCATGTCACTTAGTTTTACAGTATATAATCGTACAATTGAATTACTTGGTCAGCCAATGACCATTTACTGGCAAAATGATTACCGAATATTATATTATGATGGTTTATCAGCACAATCTTTAGTTTTTATAAATAAAATATTTCCAATTATTATCATCAAAGAAAAGATACATTTCTTGCGTAGTAAATGTGTTTATATATTCCATTTGAATAGTAACGTACATAAGGTTTTGTTTAAATTATGTTTAATTTATGATTCTGATTGCTTTCTTGTTTTTCCATTTGTTTGGCATATTTTTTCACACCATCAGTATGAATTGATTGCTAATGCTTATCAAGATTATGTACCATGTAGTGATTATCGTACATTAGTTGAATCACATATTCAAAAAGGTACTGAATTTATTCCGGAAAAATATCATTTCGATGGATTTCATGAATCAAAGTATGTTAATTTAATGATTATACATATGCATAGTTTCTTTGAATGTTTTTCATATTTAAAGGATTCAGTTGTATATTATTATAATTTGACAAACCGTAGTTCAAATCATGAATTAACTTCTTTTGAGACAGTAATAAGAAAATGAAGAAGCTCTAGTTAGCTGCTTTGATCTCATATGAGATTATTTACAGCTAGCAATTACACTTTCTCTTGGAATCAAACTTATAAACTTCAGCATTCACATTTTCAAATTCAATCCATCAGCTACAGTATTTAACCTCGATACATTGTCAATAAACTCTAGGTTAATACACATGTCAAAATACCTAATTGTCATGTAATTTTATAGCTACTAACTGGTTAAGAGTACTATGTTTGAAGAATAAAACTATCTACTGCATTCTATATATATATATAATCTTCGTTTGATTGTCAAGAGGTTATGAGAGCTATGTAGGATTTCTATTAAAATATTTTGTTTAAATTTAAATAACTACGCTCAGAAACGATGAGGATTTTCTTATGTGACACTTATCTCGCGGTACCAAAGTTTGTAATATTTGACTGCCCATGAATAGATTCGAATAGTTTGTTAAAAATAGAAGCAGTAGGTTTCAACATAAACAAAGGATACACCAAGATACTCAAATACAACACGTAAAACGCCAATTCAATCTCACTTGATGGAGAAACTCTGGATTGTCAAAGGAAGGGCACTATTTTTACAGTTAAGAACATATGAAACTCAAAACAACTGTCAGCCAACATCGAAATCAAAATCTTCAATAGGAACATCAAGACACTGCTACTGGACGGAAATGAAACTTCGAGAACGACCACAACCATCATCAAAAAGATACAACTGTTTATAAACAATTGTCTACACAAAATACTCAATGTCCGTTGATCGGATATCATCACCAACAACCTACTGTGTGAGAGAATAAATTAGTTTGTAGTTGAAGGGGAAATTAGAGAATGACATTGTAAGTAGATAGGGCATGAATTGTGAAAATCACCAGACTGCATCACGATGTAAGCACTAAATGGTAATCCTGAAGTGAAACGGAAAAGCGGAAGATGAAAGAACTTACTTTGTCGAGAATTGGAAGCAGATACCAAAAAGATGAATAGAAGTTAGAAAGGGGTGGAAAGTATAGTCGAAGAGCGAGTTGGATGGTGAACGGTGGTGGGCGTTCTATGTTTATTCATGAGAGGTAACAAGCGTAAGTAAGTTTGTCAAAAAATAATCTCCAGTTTTAGAATATTTTCTGAACTACTTTAAAAGCCTGAGATAATCGGTATATAACAAACAGATAGTCGAAAAAGAAATATTTTCTTATATCAATCAATCAATCAGTTATAAAGTTCACCTTTAACACATTTTATGTCTCTTTTTACCATTGTGGTATGTGCTACTGATGTCGACAGATATAAGTAGTATGTATCAGCAAACGAAAGTAGAATACCTAGCAGCAGAAGATTAAGAAGATTGAAGAGAACAGAACTAGAGCAACAAGTGATTGATATAGAAACAAGAGAACTATAAGTTCTGAAACAATTGATTGATATTCTTCAAATGTTGTTGTTTGCTGTTTGGTTCTTTAATTTTACCAAGATATTCTGTAATTTTGTACTAAAATATATTTGGTTGTCCTCATTTGTGTTCTCGCTCAATACACCATGATTAAAAAGTCTTACAATAAACAGTAGAAATGAATGATAGATACATCATCTGTTTAATACTGAAATTAAAGAATTTGAAAACGTATTCCTCAGAATAGTCCTATAATCCGCTTGTTGGTAAAATTTCCGTAAATCAGAAAATATCTATCAGCAAATAGATTTGATATGACTAAAATAAAAAATCGAAGATAAGATAACCAACAACAAAAAACTCATATTGTAGTGAATAAAGAACACGAGTGGAAAGAAATGAATGTATTTAAACACGAAATAAAATCTGAAAACCATATAGTAAATCGTTAATTTGCAAAATATCAATCCATCATATCAAACTTGACTGTTTCTGTTATAAACATTAATCCATCGCCTCAGATTCCATCGTTCATGCGTTTTCATACTAATTCCGTTCCGTTCCCGTTCTTTCCTCATTGACCTTCTACTGAAATATATTCTATGTCTGACCACCGTGATATACTACTTATGTGGATAGAAGCAACCAATATCGCAATATTACTCTATTACAATTGCTTGATAATTTGTTCGTTGTAATTATTTATTCAATATTAATTGTTGTACTAAATATAGATTTACGTGGTCAGTTTTGATTCGTATTAAGATAATGAGAGTTTAGTATTATTCACTTTCAAGGTAGATAGATAGATTGAAAGAGATTTATACTTGATACCTCCTAACTAAAATTTATATCTTTTAATTATAAAAATCAACTCTTCATCATTCATCAAATTAAAACTATACCAATGCATCTGCTTTATTATTTTGTCTTTATTGTTTAGAAATTACAAAATAAATTTATTTATATCTAATTTTATTTCATCTATAAATAATGTTGCGATAGATTTTTCTCTTTTGTTTTTTTCTCTTTTATTTCTTTTCGTTGTTGTTGTTGTTGTTGTTGCAATTTTCATATGATGTCATCAATATTTCATATGTTTAAACAAGATAATATATTCAATTATTATTGTTCATCTCTATATACATAAATATCAGACATTGTTAAAATAAAAATTATATTTACTTATTACTTACAATTGTTTTCTCCTTTTTTTCTCTAACAATAAGAATGTATTTCGTAATATACAGTTGGTTTTTTTTATAAAGAGCACATATGTTTATTAACTATGATTATATTTTTGGTCTTAACAACCATTTATTTATGTTCATGTTTTCTTTGTTGTTGCTGTCGTTGTTGTTGTTGTTGTTGTTGATAAGATTCTATATGGATTTGCTTATATTTAGAAACAATAAGACTGACATAAGGAAGATAATTTAAAAAGCTTAATAGATAGACAGATGTTTTGTCTCATTATCAATATATATATACATTATTATGCAAAATTAATTACTATAGTGATTATAATTAATTAATATTACATAATTAATGTAAAATGAAAAGAAAAAAACTAAGAACACAACTTAAGCTAAGTTTTGTTATTTGTATCGTCTTTTTTGTTGTTGTTGTTTTAGTTTAAAAGACGATTCTAATAATAAACCCTAAGTTAATGACAATTTATTCATCCTTCCAATTAAAATTAAATTATATTTAAGTTTTATATTCTTGTAGTACATTCGATCTCATATGATAAATGTATTTTGAGTTTAATAAGAATTTTTAATACAGATGGAATTATTAAGAAAGATCAAGTTACTCAAATACTATTGGTTCTATTAAGTAATTCAGTAATGTAAACCAGTACACAACAATTCAATATTCTGTTGCTAATATAAAACAGAGATGAATTAAAAGAAATCTTGGTATTTAAATTAGAAAAAAGAACACAGTCAAACGGAATAGTAAAACTGAAAATATTTTGTTTTATAAAAAAATGATGTTGACACACATCAAAACTTAACAAACTAACAACAATTCCAATTAATCATTAAGTAACAACGGTCATGTGGAGAACAGGATTAAGAAAAATACATCTGTGGTTATCGTTTCCAGTAAAAATTTAAGTAATTTCGTAGTGATCTCAGCAAGTTGAGATCTGTCATTTTACTAATTTCTCTAATTACCTTAAACATAATACTATACAGTATACAGTAAATTAACTTAAGCTTGTTACCTCTCATAGAGAAACATAGAACGCTCACACCATTCACCATCCAACTCGCTCCTCGACAATTCTTTCCACCTCTTTCTAACTCCTATTCATCTTTTTGGTATCTGTTTCCAATTCTCGACGAAGTAAGTTCTTTCGTCTTCCGCTTTTCCGTTTCACTTCAGAAATACCACTTAATGCTTACACCGTGATGCAGTCTGGTGATTTTCACAATTCATGCCCTATCTACTTACAATGTCGTTCTCTAATTTCCCCTCCAACTACGAACTAATTTATTCTCTCACACAGTAGGTTGTTGGTGATGATATCCGATCAACGGACATTGAGTATTTTGTGTAGACAATTGTTTATAAATAGTAGTATGTTTTTGATGATGGTTGTGGTCGTTCTCGAAGTTTGATTTCCGTCCAGTAGCAGTGTCTTGATGTACGTATTGAAGATTCTGACTTTGATACTGGCTAATTTAATCAATACAAATTTACGTGAACGATCGTGAATGGAAGTTTGAAAACTAAAATATCAACCACATTTGCATTTCAGATCTTTTCTAAGAAAACCTTTTCCATACTCTTTCATAAAAATGATGTTCAACTCCTATGATAGCGAGAAATTTCATAACCTGAAAAATGCGTATTTCACCTCATTGACTTATATAATTTTAATTCACACAAAGTCTCTTGACTAGAAATTATGTGACGAGTATATACACTATATTCATTCAGATTAGTTTCATTGAACTAACCTGAAAAACCAACTATCTGTTGTAATAAAAAGATTTTTTTCGAAATACCAAACTGTATTTCTTCTTAAAATTCTGAAAATCAATACTTGAAGGTTCAACCGAAGATAGTCCAGTTTACTAAAGATTATAACATGTTTATTTAAAACATAAGTCCATGAGCTCAGGTATTATACAGGGCTTATACAGTAATCCATCTTTAATTCACATCATTTCATTATCAGTTAAATTTCAATATTCAGTATTGCTGTTTATGGCTGAATATATTCAAATTCTGTCGTGGTTTGACAAACACAAAACTCTGTAGAAATATTGATACTCATAATGAATTTAGTAATTCACTCTATAACATTTGCAAGTCTTGTGAAATGAAAAAAGTTTATATTTACATAGAAAATCTATCATGTAAATGAATAGATGTTTTTCAGTAAGAGTTTTTAATGTTTCTATTGTTTATTTTATAGATTGGATACAAGTCGTTTAACAAGTAGGTTGGGTAAAGATTCCGGTGACTCTACTTTAGATATATTTTGTAAGTAAATCTTTTCTACACATATTTATGTTTTTTAATATGCTTTGATTTATTCATTAAAAAAATACGAAATTATTAACTCCTGGTCACTTGATATGAAAACGAATTAAACAACATATATTTTTATCTTTTATGGTGATAAACTCAATATGGAGTGATGTTATAAAATGTAACTTGGTCCTATAGTTTAATAGAAAAAATGTTGGAGTTATTCGAAATAGTCATTTATTTAATGGATCATCTTATTCACTTGATAATATGAACTAGTCAAGATAGATCTTATTGAAAACCTGAAAGCACTGGACGGCCTTTTCGTCCCAATATGGGACTTGTGAGCAGTGCACACCCATGATTCTGAATGTGCGAATCAAACCCAGGACGCTTGGTCTCTAGATCTGACAATCAACGCTTTCAATGTTTAACTTCAATCCAGCAGTACTTACTGCTGGGGGGTCCCATACTGAAACGAATCAACCGTCCAGTGCTTCCAGGTTTTCAATGGTGATCTAGCTTGGATCGACTAGTGAATTCAATCAATAAAAGTACTACGATATCCATCAATAATCATTGTGATTACAGATCTCATTGATATTCTCTTTCTAATACGAATAAAAAACAGTTTGTGAGCAAGTATTGTAGGTTCATAACAGAGTTTTGAAATGGTAAACAATTAAACAGTAGATATTGATTTATTCAAAGTATTCAAAACTTATCTTACGAATAAAAGGATCTTCAAGAATAACTAATTGTTCAGTTGATACTGTTAAAATATTAGATACTTTTGATAAAATATCAGTAAAAATAATGTAAATTGTACAACTTTACTTATTTGACTTTCAAAAGCATAGTTCTTGTAAAAAAAATACAAGTAACTCTACACAACTACTTGAAACAAATTTAATGATAAACGATTTAAGTAGTATATTACTTGATTTTTAATGTTAGTCGAAATATTAAACCAAATTTTTACTTAAATAACAAAGAAAAACTATAGAGAAAACTTCTATATGAAAAGTAACATAACATGTCATTCATTATTTTAGATTTAAAAATGAAATCGAATTTCAAATAATATTACATAAGACAACATTATAAGACAAATGAAGTGATTTATTTAATTATATAATAAAATGAGGCATTAAAATGAATCTCCTCTAAAGTATAATATTTTATTTATTTGTAAATTGTTAAGTTAAAACACAACATAATCAGTACTATTAATCCCTACATGAAATTGAAACTTGGAATTCATTTCAAAGTAACAAGGAATCAATTACATTTATAAATATATTTTGTTATAGTATTCTAATTAGTATAAATAGATGTTATTATCAGAATGGGTCTTGACATTAAGAGCGTTGGATGCCGGCTCAGTGGTCTAATGGTTAATTGCTCGCGCGCGAAACCAGAAGGTTCTGGGTTCGAATCCCACGGGGTACGGTATCGTGGGTGAGCACTACTGAGGAGTCACATACTAGGACGAAACGGCCATCCAGTGCTTCCAGGTTTTACATGGTTGTCTAGCTTCAATTGACTCATGATTTCAACCAGTGAAACAAATAAATGTATTTAAATGTGTAATACAAGTTAACATTCTTAATGATAAGGCATTTGACTCTATTGTTGAAGATTTTATTAATAATAAGTTATAACTTGGAATACATTTGTATTTACACACTGATTATATTATTCATAAGTATTCATAGCTTACATTTGATTTCATTATTTGTCAATGGATACTTAGAAAATCACTTGAATTCATAAAGTTTTTATAAACAATAGTTTTATGTCCATTTGTTGTTGTTTGACTTGTATCTTCCCATCGTTGCTTAAAAAGCTTGTAACTTAAGTCTATATTGAGGCAATTCGCACAGAATGCACATATTCCAACATGAGACTGATAGATCGCAGTCCTAAATACCAATGGAAAGATACAAGTAAAACAACACCGGGTGAATTTAAACTTCATCCCATTGTACAAGCAGGTGGCGATTAGTATTCAGTAGCTATGTGGATAAGGTGATAATGTTTGAAGCGAACTGTACTAGGTTCGAGTTCCGGGGTGAGCATCAACTCTTGATGCAGGTGCATTCAGATGACGAGTTCCGAATGGAAGGAAACAGGCGTCTTGAATTCCACTGCTAGATACTAGCCATTTTTACTTAAATAGTTTTATATTTTTATACCTTTAACAATGAATGCATCAACTCATTTATTTTATATAGTTGCACACAAACAATATTTGCTTATTTACCTACTTCTGTTACTTAATGTGAAGCATAGGCTACCAGCCAGGATTGTTCAAATAACTTTATCCTGTCCTTGTTTTATCAACTTTCCTCAAGTACGATTTATACTGTTTAAATGAACAATAGGCCATAGAGAATCTCAAATTATTAAACCAATCAAAACAATAAAATTTATTAAGAGCGGTTAAAAGTATCTTGATGAATCACTTACTTTATTATACTATTAAGGTATCAAATTATCATAAACCATAATTCATAAACCTTAATAAATTCATAACTAAAAGATTTATATCACAAAACTAAGTATAATTAAATATGATTGTTATTATCGGTCTATATGAGATGTGACAACAGTCAATGCAATAAAAAATCTTGAAACCATTGTTGAATAAATGTCAATCCATTAGAAAATAAGTATTCAAGATTTTATATTTTTCATTACTCTCTCTCTTTTTCTAAACATAAATATGAAATTAACTATAAGAATGAATAGATTATTTTGATAAAATGTTTTGTTTATTACATAAGAGCGAAATTTCTTAATATATACTATGCCAGTTTAGTGAGAGTATAATCTATGGACGACCTTTGATCGACGCTTCAGATAGTTCACCTAATAATTAGGACCAAATGAGGGTTATAAACCTGCGTGAAAAATTCGAATTTTGATTTACAGTTGAGGGTTAAGATTAAGATTTTCATCACGAACTGACATCAGTTATAATATCAAAATGATATTTAACCAAATGAGTGGATGAATTCAGTGACAAAACTCGAGACCTGTTTTCTTATATCTGATTGGTTCGTTTATAAATCATAGTCTCGCTGTCAGTTTTAATTAATCAACATGTGATAAGAAGTTCAATCAAGCATCACAGGTGCTATCCAATTCTTTGCATTAACCTAATACAAGATCGAATGATATTTTTCTGTTAAAACCCAAACTATGTAAAATATCTAGATAGTTAAAAAAGTTTTTTTTTATTTCCACTTAATAAACTTTATAGACTGTTTATTTATAATTACTTGTCTCTCATGACATATTTATTTACATTTTTCTTCCTTTTTTTTATATAATATGATAGCTGCACATCGTAATCTCCTTTCATTACATTCAGACTCTGATTCTGATACAGAAACAACAGATTTGCCATTAAATACAACTGGACGAAATAGTACAAGTTTTGGTGCTATTACAGCAGGAAGTAGTAGTGGTGGAATCGGTAATACTACTAATAGTAGTGGTAATAATAATAGTCTCAGCGGTTGCGGAGTTGCAAGTGGTATAGTGTCAACAAGTAGCAATGTTTTATCAACCATTGTTGAATTTGGATCTAATCTATTTCGACCAGATTCTAAGAAATCAATACGTAATAAACGTTCAACAACAAATAGTCTTAGTAATTCATCAGTCCCACCAATCAATCCGATAGATAATTTAGAAACAATAGCTATTCATGAAGCTAATTTAGAAAGAGAATATTTATCAGCATGTTATCCAGTAGCCAGATGTATTGCAGCGATTGAAAAACAAGAAAATGGCCTAGCAACACATGTAAGTAAAATATTCGTAATTATATTGTCATATGTTGTGGTTAATTTTGATAACTTTCGACATGAACTGATAAATATAGGACTCTTAGAAATTGATAAACAGATAGTAAGAATTTTTCATGTGTTTTTTCTTTATGATGCACATGAAATTACATTTAAACCAATACGAATACCGAAAGATCATTTTCACTATTCCTTTCTACTCAGTTACATGGTATTCTGAGGGTCAAGTTGTCGTCTCATTACAAATGTTCACGAAGTTATTCTTTTCATGTAATGTTACTCTTTACGAAGTAATGCGTAAATTCAAATAATGATGAAATTAGTGGGACTATAATTTATGGACGACCTTTGAGTGACGGTAAAGTGACCTTGAGGATATCCGGCTACTAACTACAACTAAATAAGGGTTATGAAGCAGTGTGAGAAATCCAAATAATAGTCTACAGTTGATGATTTGGGTTAGGAACTAGATTTAGGGTTTTCATCACGAATTGACATCAGCTAAAATTCCAAAGCAGTAGTTGACCAAACGGATGAATGAATTTCACGCTAAAATCCAAAACCTGATATCTTATCTCTGATTGGTTCGTCCATAAATTATAGCCTCGCCATGAAATTTTTTATTTATGGCTTGTTTGAATCTTCCACATTGTTGTTGGAATTACATTTGATTAGTCTCTTTTGGCATAGATAAATCCTGTCAGGATTGCTTCAATATTGTCATTAAGTCACAATTAATACATTAGACCATTAGAAACAGACTTTTAGTCACTATTCAGTAATCAATCAATGTAAATATCTCAATCTTATAGTAAATCAGTAGTGACTCGATTAGCTCAATTGTAAAGTTTCAGACCAGTAAACTGGGTTATTCAAGTTTGAATTCTACAGGTACCATTTTTTTTCTTAAGATTGCAACTAGGTCTAACATTTCCTACAGACTACCTTCAACTATCCATTTTTAGGACATAAGATATAGACCTGTATATTCACAACTTCAGCGATAATATTTTATCATTACCAAGGATTAGACATACATATCAGCCATCACTACACAATAATCAATAATTTATAAAAATTATCGGATAAAATGAAACTTCTTTCTTAAAATGCAACATCAACTTGGAAAACTCGGTAACTAATCAGTAGTTAAATAACAATTCTATTTATAGAACTTGAAGTGTCAACAAAAACGAACCAAAATAAAATAAAATTTATTTACTTTTCTGAACCGATTCTACTTTATTTTCCCTTTTAACTAATTTGTTTATTTATTTTCTTGGGGAATACATTGTTTTGTTATTAAAAAATATTTCTTTAAAAAACCACCTGGTATGAATGAAATAATTGAATTCATAAGTCGATATAAATAAAACCACCATTGAAAACCTGGAAGTATTGGATAGTCGTTTCGTCCTAGAATGGGACTCTACAGGAGTGCACATCCACAATTCCTCATGACTGGCTTCAAGATAGCTTTTCGTGAGTTCTAGTGAAAAGTCGTGACCAGTGGAGTTCAACTGTGTCGGTTTTGAGGCAGTTACTCACTAAAGACACTGAAGATCGGTTACGCAATATGGTGAGTTGGTTGAAGTTAGACATAAATACAGTTAGTTAGTCGGCTCAACGGTATAGAGGTTAAGTGTTTGCACGTGAAACTGAAGGTTTTTGGCTCAAGTCCCACATATGGGATTGTTGAAGAATCCCATACTAGAACAAAACGGTCGAATAGTGCTTCCAGGTCTTCCATGGTGGTCTAGCTTAAATCAACTATCGAATTTACTACAATTTTCACAAACCCCCATTCTAATAAATGAAATACCTCATTCTTTTTGGTGTCATAATTTACAGTTTAATTACAAAATATCAGTTGTTATTCTTTGTTTTTGTCTGTTTGATTTTTTCGGCATAATAAGGGAATTTATCGTGTACCAGCGTCTAAAGCGAAAGTTTCTAATCTAATGGATTTGTTACAATCTAATCAATTAGTTAGCAGTGACCAAATTCAAAATGATATCGACTTGTTAAGTCAAGAACATCCACTTACATTGGCTAGTCTGGTGAAAACACAACTGATTGCCGTAAGTGTTATTTTTGTTTTTTGGAATTTCCTAAAAAATTTTAAAGTTTATTTTCTTAATTATTATAGTGAATAATTTATCGAATATCAGGAACAACTAAATATTTGGTTTCTTTCACTTTTTGTTTTAAACCACTGGAAATGATGAACTAAAATTTAACGAAGTGTAAACCCTTATGACCATGCAGTCATCATAATCATCGAATGTTTTTGTATTGTTTGTTTAAATCTTCCCATTGATGGCATATGTGTATACTGTGCAAATCGCCTCCTTATTGCCTCAAGTCACATGCATTATAATCTTGGATGGATAGTGGCTAGTTGTGGAATCGAGGACACGCGTTTTTTTTTCTATTTGGGACTGGTCAGCTGGATCTATCTGCATCACACAGTTGATATTCACTGGGATGCTGGAACATTCAGCTGACCATTCTCAAATAGGACGAAAAACATGTCCTGGATTTCACTGCTAGCCACCATCCATTCAACCTTATAATCATACATTACTATTTTTACTAAGTTCATTGAATTATTTTTCCACTGTTATTGAAGGTGATATAGTCTTATGATTCATTTATTATAAGTTTACATCGATTTAGCTTAACAACGTACAATCAGTTATAACGTAGGACCAGTCACATATGTGCGTCGGTTCAAGATGTCACACCTCACTAACACAGCAAGGTGAACACCGGATTCATAGAAGCAGTTAACTCAATGGTGTAATATATAAAGGAAAGATTTTATGTAAGGATATAGTACAGGAAGAAAGAGTTAATAGAAAGAAAGATATGAAGTGATTTTAATCTCCTAGTTTAAGGGAAGACAGAGAGTGTATACACCGACGCCATTGTGATCGATTCTGAGCCATGTCTCCAAGAGTCTCCAACCATTGGTTACGATAGTCACGCGGACCCCAACCAAGTAGTCTGTATCTACCAACATGTCTCAGACTAGAAGTTAGTGACTTCAATCACTGATGCCATGTTTTGGTTTGGCCAACACTACTTTTCTTTTAACAGTTACCAACAATAGTCAGCATTTCAAGTCGTGGTAATCGGTATTCAGGCATACGCAGCACGTGGCTCATTTAACTTAACCAATAAGTTTGAGGAACTATTTGATTCAAAACACTGTTGAAGTCCAGATTATCATTAACTAATGTAATTTGCAATAAAAATAATTCAATTTTGGGTATTTTTATAAAAACGTCAGTGATATGAAAATCTTAAATGGTGATCTTTATTATAGAACGACGTTATTTTGCCATTTTTGTAATTCATCTAAATGTTTATACTATATAATTTAACCACCTAATGGATTCATGCACTATCATAAATGGCTTACAATCTTTTATAAAATGAAACCGTAAAACTTAAAGAACTCTATCATGATGAACAGGACGAAACAGCTTATAGTAGATTATTTTGGAGGTAATTCCTAAATCTTCATATTTTAATCGCCGTGATAACCGATATTAAATAAACTTTAACGGTGTATGAATTGAGAAGGCAACACGAAACCACGACTACATTTTATTACTGAATAGTACATATCACTTAGCTTCAGGTACGCTTAACGAATTGGAGCAGAAATGCTAATGTGCACGAACGAGCGAATACAGAGGCGAATTTAGAGTTGAATAATGAATCGAGTGAATTAATAAGATTCAAGCGTATATCTATAAGAAAGCGATTGATTTATCAAGCGATTTACAGAATTAACATACAAGTTAGAAATAGGGATTTGTGCGTAGGCTGTCACATGTGATCAAGCTTATGTGTGTATACATACATGATAATAATATCAACATACATGACTTAGTGCTGTTCGAATAACACTGTCTATTAAATACGTTAACTGAAGGACTTGACAAAATCAAACAAAAACAAACTTATGGGTATTGGAAGTGCTATAAGCTGTTCAATGGGTCATGATATTCATTGCTTCCACAACTAAAGTCAATCCATGACGAACGCAATCTATAAATGATAATCATTCCTCATAAAACCACTTTCTAATTAAATTATTACCATCATCATATTAATGTGAAAAAGTAAAGTAGAATGTTGATAAAAACTATCTGTTCAATACAAAAACGAGTAAAAATTACTACTTGGGTGGTTATTAAAGATTAGTTTTATTTGTTCATTATATACTGATATAGCTGCAATAGTATTTTTTTAAAGTGACTAAAATCTGATTACAAGTTAATTGTTTAACAGTTGCTAGGTCATCATGAGACAAAACTCATTCAGTATTCAGTTTGTGGAAACGTTTTAGCTGAGATCGTTTAAGGGATTCCACAAGAAAAAAAGAAAAATGTTATGTAAACGTTCAATGAGTGTTTAATCAACTGAGTACTTAACTGACTAACGAATTGATTAATTATTTAACATACATACAGATATTTTTTATTATAAGCTTCATTTCTTTCAAATTTTAGAGTTGCTTAATTATTAAAATATAAACAGTGAAGTATATTTTAGTTTTAATGGTTTGAATCTATCCATTGTTAATATTTGTGAACTGCAGACAATAAATCTGTATTCAGATATGTGAGTCCCAAATAGATTGTCTCTATACTATCCTTAAGTCCCTAACATGTCTAAGCAGAGTAGTTACCTGAAATTAGCAGCCTAATGGACAAAATGTCAACAGTTTGGAGTGATAGACACTAAGTTTGAATTCCGGTATGAACATTACCACTATAGTAAAGATCTATACAATTGACGAAATGCATGTTTCAAATACCACTGCAAGCCATTATTCACCTCTGTGTTAACATGAAATACTTTTTCCAATATTGATTGTTAATATTAGTTATACTTATTCAACTAAACTTAGGTCTACTTTACTCTTTACTATCTTTTTTTGTTTTTGTTTATTTATTTACATAATTATACAGTTACCTGAACCATTACTCACATACAATCTTTATCCGAATTTTGTTGAACTTGGAAAAGTAAGTTGGATTCATTTAAATTTACAGTAAACACTGTTTAAATACTTATTTAAAAAAAAGGAATTTTAGTTAGACAGTCTTAATTTTATGCATAATGTTTATATATATATTGTAAATTATGTGAAATATTACTTAATACTTAATTTTGCCCTTTAATGTATTCATGGATTGTTAAAAAATCAACCAGGACAATCCTTTCTAACTTCTTAGAAATTTCAGTGGTTGAAATCATGAGCCAACTGAAGCTAGACCACCATTGAAACCTGGAAGCACTGGACGGCCGTTTCGTTCTAGTATGGGACTCCTCATCAGTTCGCGTCCACGATTCTGCCTTGCGGAATTCCAACACAGAACCTATCAGTCTCGCACACGAGCCATGACCAGTGGAGTTCAACCAGGTCTGTTGTGAGATATCAACTCACTGAAGACAATTGTGTACAGTGACGCAACTTCGTGGATTGGTTGAAGTTAGACATTAACACTGTTGAATGCCAGCTCAGTGGTCCAGTGGCTAAGCGTTCCTGCGCGAAACTTATAGGTCCTGGGTTCGAGTCCTGCGAAGCGGGGTCGTGCAAGCTCACTGCTCACCGGTTTCATACTAGGATGAAAAGACCGTCCAGTGCTTCCAGTTTTTCCATTGTGGTCTAGCTTCAAGTGACTTATGATTTCAATTATCGAAATTACTAAAATCTCCACAAAACCCCTTCTTAGAAATTGTTTATAAATCCATTGTAAACATTTTGTGTAAGCAGATTTGTAATAAACACGATCCAATAAAGCAAAAATATTAGAACGAACACCATCGGCAATTCATTTATGTAATTTTCATTCAGGATCAAAGTTTTTCACATCTTACAGAATAATATTTTTCAGTATAGAATTGTGGAGATTATTGACAATTGTTAATTGACATCATGAACTAATCAATGTTAGACCTCCATTAAGGACTTAGAAACACTAGACGGCCGTTTCGTCACAATATGGAATTCGTGATCAGTCCACATCAACGATCACGCACCAAAGGGACTTGAACTTAGGACCTTCAGTCTCACGTGTGAACACTCAACCTCTAGACCACTGAACTGACTAACTAACTGTGTTTATGTCTAACTTCAACCAATCCACCATATTGCGTCAATGTCCTTCATTGTCTTTAGTGAGTGACTACCTCACAACAGACACAGTTGAATTTCACTGGTCACAGGTTCTAACTAGAACTCCCGGAAATACATCTTAAAGCTATTTTCTGGTACGTACATGATAATTTTCAGTATTGGATTATGGAGATTGTTGAGTTCTTTAATTGAGGTAATGAATATTTAGTGAAATACGGTTTAAGTCTTTTCAGAAGATCAAACGTTCCCACAATACTATAGTCATTGTAATTAAAGTTTGTCTGAAGGAACTGACCATAAAAAATCGTTTTATTCACGATTATGAGAAACCGGAGTCAAATATTTTGTTATATTCTAATTTATCCAATCAATATTCAATGAACAATGATTCCGAATAGGGTAAATGATTCATTAAAATCTTTACAATGCAAATGTTTCTATTCAACTAACCGATACAAACTGATTTGATTAGGTTTGGATTACTTAAATAATCAAAGATTATATAAATATTCTAAAAAGATTTAGTAAACAGTTACAATCTGAATCCATCATATTCAGATCAAACTTCAATAGTTCATGAAAATTATCTATGTACTCGTCAACTGAGCCTAACAAATTGTGCATTTCTGAAATTGGGAAAACATCCATTTTCCAGTCAGTTGTTTACAACTATCTATATATGTTGAAATGAGTTGGTCCATGAGATATTCCACGCAATGTCGAATCACCTAGACTAGTGACCACAGTGCAACTTGGTCGATAGAATTCCATCTGCACTAAGAAGCACTTGACACACATCACATTGATCACTAAACAGTAATCAATCAATTGTATATATATGTATCAATCCTACAGTAGGTCAGTCGCATACCGGATAGCTCAAACAGAACGCCTGTGACTGTGAAGTTGGGTGACACGGGATCGAATCCTTCAGGGAGCATCATTTCCCTCAAGATTACAGGTTTACTTTCCTATTGACAGCCAAATACACAAAACCTAGGTTCAGGATTTCCTTTCGACTACTTCGTCTCATCTCAATATATGATTTGCTTGATAAACCTTATTTAAACTGGTTCATTTTGTATATAGTATTCGTTACAGACTTATCCCATTTGAATCACTATTTTATTTATTTACTTCAACACATAGATATTGGTACAAAGAGGCACCAAATACATATGCGCCACACAAATCTCATTCGATATGTGTGAGGGCTGTGATACTGCCCGGTTACCCAAACCGAAACAAGTGGTTTTCGTAGAGGGCCACTCCCCGAGCCTTCGACCTGAAGGTCTGATCCACAAGGCAGTGGAGCATCGTAAGGAGATGCGATCCCACGGAAGCCGGTGACCAACAATTGGTTCATACACCATTTGTTCCCGCAGGATACTGGAGCCCATGTGCACCACTGATTTGGAATCCGGTAGAAGCACCGGACATTCGCTTTTCGTTCTCTCATTTTCGTAAACAACACCCCCGACACGAGAAGGCAGTGAATAGGACTTCCCTGGCAGAGGCTGTATACGCGAGGCCGTGTGATAGCATTTCGAGAGGGAGAGCGGACTCTCCCCACTCCCGGCCGTACGAGGGCATTTGGGGGCTAATCAATATCAATGATCACTGGTCAGCTAGCTGTATGAGACCCAGTAGTTTTAATCTTTAAGCTTTTGTCAAGGTATCTAAAGATATTTTGTTGAATTTCTAGTGAGATTATGTATGCATACTGTTTAACAGTTGTAAAACTAGAATGAAACAGCTGTTAAATTCTCTCTTATTTTTATTAGTGCTATAAATATGGTGTGAAATTACTTTAATAAATAACGAAGAAAATATAGAATAAATTTAAAGATGTTAAAGAAATAACAATCCTTGAAAAGAAATTAAAGAAAGTTTTTTTGTAAAAAAAGAAGAAATAACTATTAACCAGACAAACTTTTTTTCTCATTATACATATATGGTCATTTGTTGTATTTATAAATAATATTGCAATCCTAGAATATGGATATATGGTGGAGTTTTGTCCTTTAAAGTGAATGGTTTGGTTGTGAAGCTTTCATTGTTCTTCTGAATGATATCATCAGCATAAACTTCAAGTAGAAGTAGAAGTTTGTGCTGATGATGTCGTTCAGTATAACGACCAAAGCTCTGCGACCAAATTGTCCAGTTCAGAGAACAAAACTTCATCAAAATATGAATATATAGTTGTAAGGTGTATATTATTTTTAATTAGTATAATATTATTTCACTATCCTACATAAAATAAATAAATCACTGTCAATTTGTGTTAAAACTTTGGGAAAATAATCCATTAGCTCATATAAACTTGTATATTTTTTTGGAGGGGGGAATGATTAACACATGTATTCTCCTATTCAATAAATACCTGATTGAACAAATGATATTTATTATCATTAATATATATATATATATATATATATATATATATATATATATATATATATGAAATTTATCAGAGTTTGTTGTATGGTAATGGTACTTTATCTGTATCAATAAAGCAAATATTTAGGTAATTGTAATAATGAATTAGTAAATATATTTATAGATGATGGTAACATTTTTGATGTGTTAATAAAGACTGGTTGAAATTCAGTACAGATTATCAACAACGTTATAATATAAATTATTTCTAACAATAATGTAAATTGTTTCTTAATTGATAAGGTTATGGCGTCAAAAAATTAGCTTCCGTTGAACTTTACAGTATAAGTTGTAATGTGCTCGTTAATTGAAGTAATTCATCTTTTCGGTGAATTTTGTATAATGTAACAAATTAAAATTTTAAATCAGAAGTAAGTTTTATATTTATGTTTAGTAATTGTTAATATTCATTAGTAAAACGTATTTGAAACTCTCAAAGAAATGATATTTCGTTCAATACTTGATATCATGAGTCAGTTGAAGCTAGACCAAAATGGAAAACCTGGAAGTAATGGACGGTCTTTTCATTCTAGTATGAGACCAGTAAGCAGTGCACATCCACAACTCCGCCTCGCGGGATTCGAACCCAGGACCTATCAGTCTCGCGCTTGATCGCTTAACCGCTAGACCACTGAGCTGGCCGCCATCCAACGGTGTTAATGTCTAACATCAACTGAGGAGTCACACAACAGGAAGAAACGACCGTCCAGTGCATCCAGGTTCTCCATGGTGGTCTAGCTTCAATTGACTCATGATTTGAACTATTGAAATTACTATAATATCCACAAAATCCCTTCTGGTGATATTTCTTTCTTCAAAACTTTCAATTTATGACAATTCAAAACCAAACTTCAATGTTAGTACTGTGTTACTCAATTTAAGAATGATCCTTTTTAGGACTGATTTTTTTCAAAATTCCTCAACAACTGAATTTCGAATTGTGACAAATTTAGTAACCATATATAGTAGATCATTTTCGAACTTAGCAATCACAAAATACATAAAATCTTACAGACAGATTTCTTCAGTGTTCTTTTTTTTAAAAAATAAGTATTCATAAACCTATTATGACTTTATAAACGGTCATGGAATTTGTCAAATTGTCTATTCTTTTTTTAAATACAAAACATTTACCTTATTGAACAAAACTGTGGATCAACATTTGATTTTTATTTAGCTAAGAGATAAGATATTTACAAATTTCATATTATTCATTGAAATAATACAATAAAAGCAAGATTTCGATAGTTAGTATGTTTAACAGATTATTGAACACGTCCGTCTACATTATGACCATACATAATTTCTAGAAAAACAAGCTATAAGTAGACGTATTTATGCAGTTTATATTCTTAAAGGGATGAAATGTATGAGCTGTATATTATTTTTCCAATTCTCTTCAAAGAATATGTTTACTTAACTAGTAACTATCAATTCACAAATTATAAACCAGATTATTTTTTAGAAGAGTATGAATAGCAGTGATTTGAAATCGATTAAATCTTAATATTAGAAATTCTTAGTTGTCATTTAATACTAGAAACATAAAAGGTTTTATTTTTAAAGTCCTGTCATGGATATCATATATAACTTAACAATGTTATAAATAGATATGTGTAAATATATTTGAATTACTAAATAATACTTATGAAATATCACGAATTAACTAAGTTTACAGTAGTACATCACTGAATGCTAACTCAGTGTTCTGAAGGTTTAAAATGATCTTAACGTTTGAAGGTCTTGTGTTCGATTTCTGGTGAAATCGGTGATGCAAACTGCTGAAAAGTTCTTGGTGGGGCTATAATTTATGGCTAACCATTAAGCAGTGTTAAGATGATCTTGAAAATGTTCACCTGCTTATTAGGTTTGAATGAGGGTTATAAATCAGTATGAAGAATTAGGATTAGGATTTATAGTTGAACGTTATGGTTAGAAATAAGATTTAATGTTTTCATCCCGAACTGATATCAGCTATAATGACAAAATGCTATTTGACTAAATAGATGAATGAATTTCGCTCTAAAATTCAACACCTATTATCATATATCTAATCGGTTCATCCATCAATTATAGTCTCAACTAATTCATATACTACCATTTAATAACTATCCAGTGTTTTCTAGCTTTTACTTATTGTCCACTTACAATTATTTTGCCAATCAACCATTTTTTCACGTAAATTAAATCAAAATTCACTAGTTTAATTTCATGTTTGGCAACAACCATCCTAACCGGTATTTATCTATCTGACATTGTTCAGGTGAAAAAAAAAACACAACGACAACAACACATATAACCCAACTGATTACAATCTATATTTTCATGTGTTTTTTTTGTTTTCAACAACCTAACGATACACTTGTAGACTTTTATATCAACCAAAATGTTATATTTACATAATCAAATGATATATATATATGTTAAGTGGAGTGGAACAATGAATAGAAATATGTTTATTTTCTAGCGAAAATCAATCATCAACTCAAATTGAGGTCATTTCAGTCTAAATACAGTTAATTTATTTTTGACAAGATTTTGTGGTATTTATAGTATTCAACTACTTTTGTTTTGTATTCATTTGACCAGTTACATTTAAATAGAAATTACTATTCAAATAAACAACAATGATTATATTATTTCATTGTATTTGTAGAATCTGTTTAATGTAATATGTGATTAACATCATTAATCAATGATTAGTTGAAAAAGTGATTGAAAAATAAAGCAATACAAAAGTCCATAGTGTTGTATTATTCGAATGATGATTTTGATGAAGTTTTATTCTTTGAACTGGATGGTGTAGTTGTGGAGCTTTCGTTTCTACCTGAAGTTTGTTCAGATGATGTCGTTCAAAAGAACGATGAAAGCTTCACGATCAAACCATCCAGCTTAGAGAACAAAACTCCACCAAACTTTTAAAAGGTAGAATTATGTATTCATTATTAAAATGATCAAATATTATCTGTGATATAGTAAAAAAAGTATATTTTGCTCTAATTAAAGACTTGTGAAGACAAAATAACACTACAATAAGAATAATAATTCTGTTTTATCAGTATAGAATTGTTAAGATTGTTGGGTGTTTAACTGAGATTATGAATTGATCAATGTTAGAACACCAGTTAAAATCTAAAAGTATTGGACATGCATATTGTCTCATGAATACTCAACATCCACGATCTTACACCAGAAGGATTCGAATCCAGGACCTTCATTCTCACATGTGAACACTTGATCTCTAATATAAATATTAAATAGTGATATATTTTCTATTTTATATCAACCTATTTAATATGTAATGAGTGAGTACAATGATAAATCTCTGAAAACTTTTATTTTATTTCAATAGACTGATCTATAGCTTTAATAGTTAATTTTGTGTCATTTCGTTTTTTTTTTACACCAATAAATTGTCTCGTTAAAATTAAACGTACAATCATGTAAATAAGTGGATGTATTTGTATAACATTGAACTAGCATGGTTGATCAATAAACAAAAGGAGATCTCTGTTTTGGAGCATCTAATCGATACTGTAATGATCGGAGTTTATATTACAAAAACAAAAATTTAAAAAAACTCCATTGAATTTCTTTCATGTTACCAGGATGGTTTTTATATTCAATAAATACTATAGATGTATACGTTAATAAATCCAATATTTGATTATTAAAAACATTCATACAACTTCTTAATGTGTATCCTTAATTTTTGCTAACTTCACCTTACGTTTTTTTCAAAACCTCTTCAACTTTAATTTCCAATTTGATTCTTAAATAATTGTTTTTTAAATAAACTGATGATTTAATCCGTTTTATTAACCACTCATTATTGTTTTATAAACAATTATAATTGAAAAACTTAATTTTAGACTGATTTCATATTATCACGTTATTAATTATAGTAATTAACTGATTAAGTAATTACTTTTCATTATTTATATTATATCTATTGAATTAGAAATCAGTTAATATCTTTAGCAAATCGATCAAGATGTTGCGTTGAAATGATTCGACACTATTTATTTGATAATAATTTCCTACTTAATTGTGAAACCTATATATATAAAGATATATAGGTGTGAAACTATAACGGAAAACGAGAAAGATTTCTTTTATTAACTTATATTTTATAATATCTTAATAAAAACATTGAATCAGAAAGAGGTTTTGTCGAGATTTTATTACTTCTAGTGATTGAATTCATGAGTTCATTTAAACTAGACGATCCAGGATTCCACACGTGAGACCCAAATCTAAAACCTTAGGTCTCACACGTGAATGCTTACTCTTGAGATCATTGAATCAGCATCAAATAGTGTTAATATCTAACTCAAACCAATCCACCATATTGTGTGACAGTCCATTATTGTCTTCAGTAAGAAACTGCCTGAGAACAGATACGAGTGAACTCCACTGATCATAGCTTCTCACTAGAACTACAGGAAATCCATCTTGAAGTTAGTCATTAGTGAGTACATGATGAAACTAGGACGAACTGGTCATCCGAAGCTTCCAGATTTTGAATGGTGTTCTAACTTAAATCGACTCATGAATTCAACTATCAAAAATTTTAAATGACTCAAATTACATTCAAGCTTATCATTCTTTTATGTTTCTGTTTTTTCTTCTACATATTCTATACATTTATCTAGGCGTTTGACTTAGTTGATTCAAATATAACTGATGAACTGATGAAACGTCTTCAACTATTGATTAATCATTTAAGTCCTGGTAATCGTCAATTAGCTGGATTAATTTTTCATCATTTACACAGGTAACAAATAAATGAATAACAAAAGTGTTTTTCAGTGTTGATTACAATTGGGATATTTTCAATAGTTTTGTCAATTTATGAATAAAGACACTATTTTCATAGATTTGGTTATTCATTTGTAACTGCATAACTGTATTTGTTCGAATTCCTATGTAGTTTTCATCATAAACCAAATATTTGGACATTGATAGGAAATTAGGAAGTATTCAACTATTGGTATGTTCTGATTTAGCCCCATCTAATAAAGGGATACTAAAGAATGAATAAAACAGTGGTTTATTTAATAGTTGAATTCAAGAGTCAACCATGAAAAACCAGGCCGTCCAGTGCTTCCAGGTTTTTCATTATGGTCTAGCTCCAATTGACTCATGAATTCAACCATTAAATTACTACATTATCTACAAAACCCTTCTCTGATAATAGTTTTATTTTGCTATGTGAAGAAATACTTAGGCCACTGAGTTGGATTAGAGTGATTAGTTTGTGACAAAACAACTACTTACAAAATACTAATAATAATTTAGTATTCATCTCGGTAGTTTTATCTCTCGTTACCAATATTGTACAGCAACTTGGGCAAATGAACATTTATGCCAAGTGCTAATATACATGTGACTGACTTTCTATCACCAATACAGAACTATGACATAAACATTCTCCCATTTTGATTGTCAGTGACATTAAGCTGATAAATGAGAATAGGGTTTAGGGTTGTGGAGATTGTTGAGTTTAAAATGACATCGTGAACTGATAGATGTTAGATCATCATTGAAGCACTGGACAGCCATTTCATCTTAGTATGGAACTCGTGGGCAGTGAGCATCTCCAATCCCATACGTGGGACTCGAACCCAAGACCTTTAGTCTCGCGCGCAAACGACCGTTCAGTGCTTCCATGTTTTCCATGATGGTCTAGCTTTAACTAATCCATGAATTCAACTATTAACTATTAAAAATGTTTGAGTGGACTTCAATAAAATCAGGATAATAAGAATGTTTTATGACTAAATTGACTAATTTGTATAAAGACATTAGTACTAATAATATTAATATATTCTGTAAACTAAGATGCTTCAGCGAAGACAATCCTCTTTACGACGATATCATTTTCTGAAGCTGTATAGTAGTATACATAGGTAGTTGTTTTACATTGTCTATAGTAAAATAAAGAGGTTTTTACAAAATTATCAAAGATAATCAAACTTATTCAAGCGGAGGTCAATCGAAATGATATAATGTTGCATAATATAGTAGAGATAATCAGAAATCCTTAATTATTTAAAATATTAAGGATTTTATTTCAATGTAAATAAAGTTTTCAAGTACCGACTAGAAAAAGGTTGTATCATTTAACAAAGGAATCAACAAACATTAGAAGTTTATGTTATGTAACAATATTGGAAGTAATAAAAAAAGATATGTGAGATAAAAGATGAAGATAACTGTCTACTTAATAAAAGAGAAGGAGAAGAAGACAATAAATAGAAACTATAATTCATAAGATCCTTTGATATTTTTGTAAAACTCCTCCATTTTATTATCGATTACAACATATAAAAGAAATTACCTGTAAATACATTTGTACAGCATCAGAAAATGGTATCGTCAAAAAAGAGAATTTTCTTCACTGAATAGTCTTCACTCTTTTTATTGACTCAGTAGACTTCTTTCGTTCATTATATACATGTTACAGAGTCACATAAATTTATAAGTACGATGTCGTTTATTGAAAAAAAGGGAAAAAGACAATATTTGCTGTATCATATTGATCTAAAAGACATAACTAAATAAAATACGGAAATGAATCATATTCATTCAGAAATTGAGCTTCATATATTAGAATACTTGCTTAATAAAGAGGTTCTATTTTCTCCACAGTTATTCATAATGCATATATTTTTAAACCTTGTTTCAAAATGGTTATATCGATGCAATTCTGTTAGGATACATTTACACCAACGTTGATTGATCAAAATTCAACTTAATGGAATGATTATAAAAACTCTTACTAATAATATATAAACATAAACATTATGTGTGGATAGATGTTTAATTTTTCTTGAAGATCATGAAGGTTACTGTAAAATAAATGTGAACTAAACAACAGAAATATTACTTTAAGTTATAGATGAAAACAAATCCAAAATTAGAACATTAGGACTACTATTGTGTTGCTAAGTTCACTGGATAAACCACCTTTTAATAAAATTATTTTGAATATTTATATTCGGTACATAGTGGATGGAATGTTTTAACTTTATTAATAGTTCCATTTCATATTTAATTGTTAGTTAGACAATAAAGGAAGGAATTGATAATTACTGACTTTTTTGTTATTTATTGTTGTGATAGGATGCTATGAGACTACCTAGTTAGGGCACATATACTAATTGTATATCGTTGTTAGAGAGCTTAGATTTTCAGGTACAAGAATGTATTTGTATAGTTTGTAAATGTACAACACACTCTATTTCTTCATACATCCAATACTATTGTAAGTTTTATTTAAGTAGTAAAATAAACAAATTCTGAAAAATTTACCACACTTTTACTTTAATAACATTACAGAGTTGCTGAATGTCAGTCGGAAAATCAAATGGGAGCTGTTAATTTAGGTACAATGTTTGCTCCAACAGTATTACGTCAAAGACCTAAGTGAGTTTGTAAATTTATTTTTTATAAACATTTTTTCATTTTGACAACCATATAACCACTTATGGAAATTGTAACAATGACCAATTTCTATAATTACAAATCAAACAGTATCGTGTGAATTCATCATGCTTTGCCGATTATCACCGATTTCTCCACAAACATAACTAATTTATTAGGTTAGGAATTATTCGGCTACTGTTTAAAGACATTGTAAGAAAAGTTTACATTCTTAATTACAGGTTTGATAAAGTAATAATCAGTAATCGCTTATTTCTTCCTTGTATGAATTTTTTTTAAATACACAACACTAAAACTGTCATGAGAAAACCGCATTATCTACCAATTTCGTATTCTATAAATTATAGTACACTTTGTACCAGTCTAGATAGTTGTGAATTTGTTTCTTTCTAGTTTTATGGATCCTCAATACTAGGCAGCTCTATATTAGGTGAAATAACTATTCAATAATCGCTATTTTTCTCTGGTTTCTTGGAGATTTACATTACCTTAATTAAATGAACAAAACACGTTGATCGAACAGAACAATAACCAATTATTAACTGAAAATACTTACAATTGTATAAATATATCTGTATGTAAGATCATTGTAAAAATGAAAACACCTCATATTAATGAAAATATTATAGTGAATACTATGAAATGTGTTTTTTCGAAATCGATGAAGTAACAATTAAGTATAAAACTAATAATTCAAGGTGGGGGAATGGATATGTTTTGTTGATTTGTTTTTTAGTTGTAAGCAACTGACGCATATCAACAAAATATAATAAATACATAGTATACACTGTTATACAATAATTAGGCTAAAAGACCGTTAGATGCCGACTTAATGGTCTAGACCGAGGGCTCTAGGTTCGAATACTGCATGTGGGGTCGCGGATGTTCATTACTCATGAGTTCCATATTGGGACGAAACGGATGTCTAATGCTTCTAGTTCTTCAATAGTAGTCTAACATTCATCGATTCATGATCTCATTTAAAAACTTAACAATCTCTACAACTCCATACTGATAAAACTTACTTAATAATTTCCAATTGCATTATATAACAATACATTTTTTAATTCTGTGTGTGGACTTCCATTTTAATTAGATAACACTGTATATAGTTACAATGGACAATTCTTTCACGTAATAGTTAGACTTGAGTATACTTGAAGAAAGATAATGAAATAGATTTTACACATTGATTAAACATCAAAAATATCAAACCAATATGTAACATTTTATTAGAATATTCATTAAAGTATCTTGTTACAGAAAATATATGTATAATTTATAGATCCGATCAGTCAAGAAATATCAGTTCTCTCAAGAGTACAGGTACACTTTACTGATGAGTCCTAAGTAGTGAAATACCTAGGTTCAAGGTTTCTTGTCGACTACATCCAGACATTATAAGTTAGGCATGCATTCAATATGGAGAATATATTTGAGATACATTTTAGGAAATATTTCATACCAAAATTTCAACAGAAAATATTGGTTAGGATTTAACCCTAAAAAAGGTAGTCATAAACTTTATGTTTTCATCTAAAGTTGATGAATATATTAAATCGTGTGTTTTCCAAGAATTATGTCTTCATTAAGTAATGAAATTTATGAGGACGTTAAGTACGGTTTATTTCATTGCATATAATTGTTTAAAATGATTCACTTTTAACTTTTGAATTACAACTCTGATCTAAGAATTTTATTTTTCAGAGATTTTGTAAAGAGCGATTGGTCTGAGCAAATTTTTTAACATGAAGAAGATAGCGTCAGGATGAATTATCAACATTCTACACAGAATATGTAACCTATGTGGCTGAGTTACACGATAAACAATAAACAATGCTACTGATGGCACTAAATAAAACCGCTGATTGATTAAGTTTGCATGACTAGATATTAACTCAGTTTTCTGAGGATTCTATATATATAACAAGTTTCATATGCGATTCTATGTAAAGATAACAATCATCACGAACTAAGAACAGTTTTGATACCAATGAAAAGGACTGAACAGAAGTCGATGTCTCAGTAGTGAGCAAAAGAAATTCCATTTAGACAAAAACAATATAATCATGTGCACACTAGCACCTGGCTTAGAGATCAGTTTACTGTGTGTTTAGTTGGAGACAGTGATCGGTAGGGTTTAACTATACCTGAGGTTAATTAATTGGAGTTGAATATTTGGATGAATACAATCTATCTCAGTGGTGTTGACATAATGCTTACGTTGTTAGATTTGAGGTTTTATGGATTTATATCGGAAAGGATTGTGAATTTCAATTTTAAACAAATTTGTATTATAAAAAAATGGTTTTCCAATTCTTTCTAGTTTTTAACTACACCTCAGTTGATGTTAATCCCTGATAAATAACCCAATTAGATTATAATAATCTTCAAAAAATCCCTAACTTAAATATTTTTATCACCTTTATTCGTTTCATACACAGACATTTTATTTTACAGATTTCAAGTAGCTAATATGATGGAATTCATGGATAATAAAGGTCAGACAAAAGTTGTTGAATTATTAATTGATCGTGTTTTTCAAGTATTTGGTTCATCAGAACAATATGATCCAATCAAATTAATTACAGCGCATATTACATCAAATGATGATAAAACTACCATAGCTGATTATAATCGAATGAATTCAGCACGTGGTAGTATTTCATTAGCTAATTGTGAGCGATCTAAATCAACTTGTAGTACAGTTGTAGATAGTGTCTCTGATACACCAATGAATATATCTAGTAAACTTCATACTGTTAACACTATAACAACTATCACAACTGCTACTACCGTTAGTACTACTACTAGCAATAAAACCATTAATACTGATATACCATCGTCGACAACTTTCACACTTGTTGGTACAACCAACAGCAATACTACTCATACTACTGACAGTAATAGTAATGATAATATGGTCAAAGAAACTACAACAACACTTCCACCTTCTGGTTTATTAAGGTCGGCAACAATATCTGTTTCACCACAAATTCGACCTACAGGAAGTGAGTGTCAATTATTTTCCAATTTACATGCTTAATTAGCTAACTCATTAAAAATCAAGCCTAAAGTATGTCCAATTAATTCCATTTGTTCTATTTACAAAAAGTGTGTTGAAACGATAATTTATGGACGACTTTTGAGAAACGCTAAAATGACCTTAGAATGTCATTCTACTTACCAGGTCTAAATAAAGGTGATAAATCAATGCGAAGAATCAGGACTAGGATTTATAGTTAAATGTTATGGTGAGAAATTAGATTTAATGTTTTCATCACGAACTGACATCATCTATAATACTGAAATGGTATTTGGCCAAATGGAAGAATGAATTTCGCTCCAAAATCCAAGATCTGTTCTCATAAATGTAACGGGTTCATCTATAAATTATAGTCTCGCCGAAAATGTATAGTTCAGTAAGAGAAAGTATAAAAGCATATTTTAAATTAAACTGTGACAACAGAGCAAGAACAGAATTAAGTGATTATGTTCATATGAATTACGGAAATCACATATATGTATATTCTCGAACCGTTTTTCTGATTGACATTAATGATAGATCCTTAAAATCACTATAAGTTGGATTCACAAATAGTAACTTTATTTATTAGCGTCTTATTAGACTCGGAATTTATTTGGCTATCATATAGCATACATGCAATGTAATTAGCAGCATACGTTTTGACTACTGTGAAGTTTTGTACTAAAACAAAATATCTATCAGCAGTCTCCATGTTTTCAGGAGTTACTCAGCTGACATCTATTTCTGACGAAAAAAACTCAACAATCAAATATATACTAAAACAGGCTCTAGTCAATATAGAATAAATGAAATATGAATAGAAATGGGATCCAGGACATACATTTCTTTCCATTTGGAACGCCTCAGTCGGATGCACCTGCATCTTGGAGTTCATACGCACTCCGTTTCTTGAACTCAGTAATTCTCGTTTCAAACACTGTCGTATTATTCGTATAGTTATAAAGTCCAAACAACAAGACGTACACATTTTAATTTCATTTAAAATGGTTTGTACAATCCAATTGTTGATATTCTGACTGAAATTTAATTAGTCTTGGTTGACATATGGCCATCCTGAATCTCACTACTAGTCACATTCCATTTATTCTATATCAACTTGTTCAGTAATTGCTATAACGAGGTATTCCCCACAGGATACCTATATGCCAAAGAAGATTGATTTAATACTAGTAAGAAATATCAATAGCGAGATAATTTAAACCATTTTAAATTAAAGTAATACCTGAGCCCGTTTGAAGCTAACGGATAACAGAGTAAAAACGAAACGAATAATGTGTAAGGCCATAGATTATGAAAACTGCAACTGATTCTTACTGTTTATTGGCAAAATATTCAATAGTGCAACAAAAATGTATTGTCTTTGATAGTTTTTTTTTATCATATTAGCATATATGGGAATGATTTCTCAACGAATCCGTTTTAATTATAATCTCTATCATTTAAATTCTTTATTCAATTGATGCATTTATTTAAATTTGAATAATGTAACGTGTACAAATTTATTTCATTAGCCCTGCTTACTGGAGCCTTACCTTTGTATACTCCATATCGGCAGAATCAAGGATTTAGTAAAGACAATGCAAATATTGAAGAAACTCCTATTAATACCAGTTCTGATATCACAATTTCTTCATTACATGGAGCTGATAAACATGACAAAATACATAAAAGACATAATCCTGTAATAAGTGAAAAATCAACTAATATAAAATCTAGTATGAGACTTCAAGATTTAGCTAAACCAGTTATTGAACCAACTATCATTACAACATCTCAAATATCTAATCCACCAACTACTGGAATAGTCATTACTACCAGTACTACTACTACTAATGTTATTACTTCTACTAGTAATAGTAACAATATGAATGAAGCTTCATCTTCATCGTCATCATCTATTGTACGTGGGATTAAAAGATTGTATTCTTCAAGTGGTCAACATTCGATTTCACCATCTACAATCGCTTCATCGATTACAACATCAAAGTTGTTTCACCCATCTGATAAACAAAATGCTCCAAATACATCATCTACTGATTCCGCTACAAATACAGCCTTATCAAGTTTAATAATTGGACGTCGTAAACCTGTTGGACGATTATTGGCTTTACATCAAACTACAGAGACTTCAGATAATGTATCCCCTGTGAATCCTACGAATTTAGATCAATATAGTTTTATTGATAATGATTTGCCTGGTAAGAGTAAACAACTTTGATTGTAAATAGTTTTATAATCTAGAAATGCATTAATACTGAGATATTTTTGCTCAACATTTATCTATTAAAAATAATCACCCTATTTTATATAATCGTGTCTAATTCTATACAATATCTACTTTATCAGAATTGGAGTTTGTGGAGATTGTAGTAATTTTAGTGATTGAATTCAGGAGTCGATTTAAGCTAGACCACCACTGAAAACTTGTGAACACTTGACGGCCGTTTCGTCCTAGTATGGAACTCCTCTGTAACTCACATACACGACCCATACGTGAGACCCAAATCCTGGACCTTCGGTCTCACACGTGAATGCTTACTCTCGAAATAATTGAGCCAGCATCAAACAGTGTTAATGTCTAACTCTAACCAATCCACCATATTATGTGACAGTTCTCTATTGTCTTCAGTAAGAAACTGCCTGAGAACAGATACGAGTGAACTCCACTGATCATAGCTTCTCACTAGAATTACAGGAAATCCATCTTGAAGTTAGTCATTAGTGAGTACATGATGAAACTAGGATGAACTGGTCATCCGAAGCTTCCAGATTTTGAATGGTGTTCTAACTTAAATCGACTCATGAATTCAACTACTAAAATATCTGCTTTATCCCTCTATTAAACAACTGGGCCTTATAATGATAATTTTTGCTAATAACCGATTAATTTTCGTCTTGCACAATATAACTTAGTTGTCTGTACTATACCTGTTATGATAAGTTATCAGTAGTTGTTGTATACTGACAATTATTCAAAAAAATAATTAATTGGTATTAGGGTGAAATAAAGATCTGTTTTTTTCTTTAGTTTGTGATCAATAAAAATGTATTACAGTATATACAAACATCTCTCCACAATCACAATAAGGTTCTCTATTTGTGACAACTTTCAAGTTTAATTTCTTGACATTTCAAAGTAAAGTGATAGCTTGTAAAATCAAGCGTAGGTCGATAATAAAACAGTAAATTACCAATGGGATTAAAAATCCGATAATGATTTAGTGTATTTTATGTGAAACTGGCAATAGAATTCAGAACTCATATCTTCTTTTATTGAAGGCTCGCCACATGGATGAACATGGATTCGAGTGTAAGTGTTTAAGTCGAATACATTGTCTTTCGCTTCGAACTCTTACAGCGTTATCCACTGAGCTAATGACTCCATAAAGCTAATAACCTGTTTAACAAGTATAAACGTTCACATAAATGCTTGTGAATGACTTTTTTGCTTATATTCAAGATAACAGTTGAGCCAATTAGTTTATATAACTATATGATCACTAGCTCTGCGGATAATGTGTTCAGTGTTTGAAGCGAAAGATATTGCGTTGGAGTTTCAGTGTCAACATTCAGCTGATGAGTCATAAGTGAGATGAAGCGTAGGCTTTTTATTCAGTAGGTAATCAGAAACAAGATAAACTAGATTTGTTACACTGCACTCTATCGAAGTAGCTTGATCATATTGAAACAGAAACGGTCCCGAATATCAAAAGAGAGAAACTAAAATCTTTTACTGATAGGAAAGTGATATTTCCCTAAATCTTCATGTTTCAAATTTGAACCGACAAAGTTTCATTCAGTGCCCACGGTTTTTTCTTGAGACCTGACGTATCTGAGTTTAACGCCATATGGATTCATCGATGTACAGTCCTGAACTGTAAGTAAATAAGACAAAAACTGCTTGACGTATGCTAGTTTACAGCGGGTAATTCGAATATTATTGACCTTTATGAATAACAGTCTACTTATTTCTGATACTATGACACATTAAAAAGTCACGTGAAGAGTTAATCAACGGGAACAGTATGATTATTTAAGATAAATTGAATATAGGAAATATGTCTCAACTTTTGACAAATAAATAGTGGGAAACTGTAACCAATGAAGTTCAGCCATGTCGGGTATGAGATAGTTAATTGCCGGGGACAAAGTAAGATGGTCGAGTAATATCGTGAATTTATTGAAGCCAGGCATTAACACTGTTGGCTTTTGATTCACTGGTCTAGCGATTAGTGGTTGGCGTGAGTCCTAGGGTCACCTTCCTGTCCTGAGGTCATAGATACGTACAAACGGGGAATCTGGTACTAGGATAGAAAGCTGTCAAGTTCTTCTTGGTTTTCATCAGTGGTCTAGCTAAGATCAATTCACATTTTGAAACGTGAAATTCTACTATCTCTACGATACATTCTTTTTGTAAATAAACACTAAATAGCTTTACAATATTGACTTTATTTGTGAGTAACATCACGTTTTGAAACATACTAATAATTGTTCGAAGGAAGCATATAATCAGTTAGCTTGATTAATTAACAAAAATTTGATGCAAAACTATTAAAATTTGTATAAAATAAACATTGTAGATCTTCCAAGTTGATAAAAATATTTCAATCTGTTTGTACAATCATGTGTGTTTTTTCACACGTTTACATGTGATTACTGAATTATTGTGTATGAGTAGTGATCAGGTAAAAGCAAATCTATTGTTTAATCTATGAGTAATTAGTCTTGGATACTAACGATCGAGCCATTCAAGTAACGATAACTAGTGTCAGAAATTATATAACTGTTCAGATAAATATGGATTCGTGTCACTTTAGATGATAAAATCAACTCATAATCTCTAAATGTCAACTATTTATTTTATTGATATCATGAAAAAATCAATACTAGACCACCTGTGGATACCTGAAACCACGGGAAAGCCGTCTTATCAGTTATCTATAGGTATGATAAATAGTATAAATAAATGTAGTTATATCTAGGAATTTTTAATGAGGCTATTTGTAACATTTACAATATTCCATGAATGGGTTGTATGTAACTTTTCTGGATATTTTCTTAGTTAGTTAAATAGAAGATTAATCTTTACAAAGATATACTTTCTAAATTGAATCTTATATTTGACCAGCTTATCAGGCTACTTTTTATTGAGATGTTGACATCAAATAGTTGAAAACTTGAAATTGAATTTTTAGTGACTACTACGCCTTAAAAAATAGTCTCATTTACTAAAGAAATAACACATGACCGACTGTGTTGGATATATCGCACTTAATGTGCACTAATCATTCTACAGGTAATTTTAACTGAAGTTATTTTCTTCTAAACAGACATTGAAGGGTGGTTTACTTACTGACGAATTGTGAATTTTTAAACCTTCATAGTTCCTAGTATAGAATAAATGGAATGTCGCTATCGATAAAATCCAGGACACGAATTTCTTTCCATTTAGAACGCCTCAGACGGATGTACCTGCGTCTCGGAGTTGATATTAATCCCGTGTATTGAACCCATTAATAGCGATTCTAAGAACTTAGTTATAAAGTCCAAGCAACCATTCATTTTTGTAAAAAGTATAAATTTTAATTTAATTTGAAATGGTTTGTATAATCCGATTGTTGATATTTTGACTGAAATTTAATCCATCTTGGTTAGCATATATGCGTTCTATGTGGATTACCGTGATATAGCCATTCTGATACAAGTTAGTATAGAACAAACGGAATGTGAATCTAATTTCAGTCAAAGCATTAGAAATAATATAATGCAATAACCTTAAAACAACTGTTTACTTTCTAAGTAAGATAACTAGAAATGTTGCGAATCAGAGTATAATAATGATTGGTTGAAGTCAAAGATTAACACCATTGGATGTCAAATCAATAGTTTACTGGTTAAACGTTCTCTCGCGAGACTTATAGCTCTTGAGTTCAAATCCGGCAAACTGAATCATGGATGTGCACTACTGATGAGTCCCATACTGAGATGAAACGACCGTCCAGTACTTCCAGGTTTATCCATGGTGTTCTAGCTTTGTTTGACTCATTCATTCATCTATTAAATAATAATAATAAATATTGTTAGAGATGTTACCTAATTTTTTCTTTATTTAAGCAATCTAATTAACAAAGCTATATAAATAAATTTTATTTATTTCTCTTTTATTTATACATAATTTATCAACAATCTAGATTCTTTAAATGATTCATGAATTCGAAGAAATATTCATTTATGTTTTCATTGATTGAATCATAAATTGTCTTCCATATTCAATGATATAATCCCTGAATACACCTATATATATATATACATATATATGTAATCTCATGAATCGATTCTTCAACTCTCGTCTAAATCATCGGAAATATTACTACTACTACTATTACTATTACTATTATTATCATTATTATTAATATAATTATTATTATGATCACTAGATCTGTTATCATTATCCATTCTCTTATTGAATACACTTCAACAGATAAAAGTCATATAGATTTATTTATTTTTCACAATTCATTAACAATAATAATATCTCTTCATTACATTTTGTATTATGTATTGTATTGTATAAATTTTCATTCTAAGAAAAAAATAATGAAAAGAAATTAAAGAAAAAGGAAAAAAGAATGAACAAGATTTTAATCATTCAATTTATGATACGTTTTTTTCTTTTTTCTTTCTTTTTTTTCCTATAAAAAAAGAGAAAAATGAAAAACTATTTAACTAAGATCATTCAAAGTATCTTACTGTTATAATAATAAGTATTATTAATACTAATATTAATTGTATTTTAATAGTCGGATTAAAAGAAAAAGACATTTATCTATCCATCTATCTATCTCATTGACTATTTTATATGAATCTATTCATATGAGAAATGATTCAATTTCATCTATGCATGTTTGTTTTACTTTAATAATATAATGTGTAACATTGAAATTTTATTTCAGAAATTTAAATGATAACAATTTCCCGCATTTCAATGATTCAACATATTTGTGTGTGTGTGTGAGTGTGTGTCATTGTTTTTTGTTGTTGTTGTTGTTATTATTGTCAAAATTCAATTTCAATTCTAATCAGTTTAACTTCTATTTATCTAGTTTTTGTTTTTATTCAATTATTCTACTTTTTATCTTTGCACAGTAACATCAATAATGAATTTTTCTTTTTTCTTTCTTTCTTTTTGTTGTTTTAGTTTTGGTTCTTTTGATGAAATTCTTCCCATTTAATTTATTTCAATGTTTAATGTTTTAATTGCACATAAAATATTTAAATTTATTCATTCATTCATTCATTTATCTATTCATTTCTCTTCGTTGTTTTTCTTTTTCTTTCTTTCTTTTATGTAATAGCAATTTAAAACTTGAACTTATTATACTAAACCAATATGATTTTTTTTTCGTTGTGAATTGTACTTCTTTTTTCAAAGATCAATATTCTTTTTCTTTTCTTCTATGTTACCTATTTAATCAGAAATCAATAATCAATATGTTTACAATGGTATATTAGAATAATAAAGATAATTATTATTATTATTATAGTGATTTGTAAACAATCGATTGTTTGTTTGTCTGTTTGTTTTTGTCTAAAAAAAAAGAGAAAAACAAATCCCCATCTTATTATTATTCATTATCAAATTATGAACAATAAAATATAACTATAATATTAAATCATTCTTTATATATTATTGAATATTCAATAAGGTAATAAGTGAATATCAGTATAATGAAATTATGTTCTACTATGAATCAAATTAAGCATCATTATTAACGTTTGACTTGATAATTTTGAATAAATTGAGCATTGAGTACTCAACTTACGCCTATCACTCCTCATTGATGAGCATAGGCTGCTCACTGGCACTCACCATTCAACCTTGTCTTGGGCAATCTTTTCCAGATCTTTCCAGTTGTTATTTATCCTTTTCATATCTGCTTCTATTTCCCGATGTAATATGTTCTTTGGTCATCCTATTTTCGGTTCATCTTCAGGATTCTAAGTTAAGGCTTGTCTCATGATTCAGTTTAATGATTTCTGTAATGTATGTATCATCCACTTCTAACGTCTTTTCTTAATTTCCTCTTCAGTTGAAAGTTGGTTTGTTCTCTTCTATAGAAGGCTGATGATGATTGTATCCGGCCATTGGATGTTGAGTATCTTGCCTAATAATTAATTACAGTACGTTCATAAAGTATGGTTGTCATTTTCACCAAACAATTTCTGTTATTACTGTGTGGTGTAAATTCATCAAGCTACGAGTCTTATCATTCAGTTTTGTAAGTCAAGTTATTATTGACCTTATATTAACTGTAACGTTATGTAAATCCTAGGTCAATCTATACTTGGAAACATTTTCTATATTCGTTATCTTGTTACTTAATAATCGACGACGCATACGGTTGTAGATAATAGGATCAAATTGTAATTTCACTAAGTGAACGAAATTGGACCGAATTAAAAGTAATATTGGATTAGTATCAGAAATCAACATCTCTGTAATTGTGTTGCATTTATTTTGACAATGACAGTAGAATTGTGGTGAACTAACACCTAGGTGGGGAGAAACTAATTTATTGTTTAATATAAAATTACGGAGTTCGTTTGTAAAATATAGAAACCAAACATCCAATACTTCATTTGCATATATTCCATCAATTAATCCTTACAAATTTAATCATTTTTGTTGTTATAAAAATTACCCTCTGTTTACACTCTTATTCTTTTCTATTCGATTTTCCCAACTTTCTGCTGCTAGGCATTCCACTTCTGATTGATGTTACATGCTACTTATGTCGACAGACATAAGTAGCATATATCACAGAATCACTAGAATAGAAATATAACAATCAACAGAACTAACAGAAATCGCTTCAAAATCCATTTTGGTACGTTCGTGTCAGAATAAAGTGAAACTTTTGTGATGAATGGTTGGTTATTAAGGCTAATTGTTTCTGTTCCTTATAGTTGTCTTTGAGGCACGCCATTTTGACACGATAGAAAGTATGGATGTAACATATGGAGAGTGCAATCGCGTGTAAACTGTCGATAAACTTTACGAGTCATGAAATGTATTGACTTGCTGTTATCGTCATTTTTAAATCTGGTCCATTTTTCTATGTTAGATACAGCAGCAGAAATCAGTGTCATTCCACTTACACTTGTTTGAAGATCAATAAATTACGTTTGCGTGATTCCTAGTAATGTGTACAATACAGCCAAAATAAAGGTATATGACAAACAATTGCACATTCTAAATCTCCGTATCCGACATCGTTCTAACCAGTCACCTATTACGCCAGACGTACACAGTAAAGTTCTAGGGACCGATTTCATGACTTCATACAATACGATGGCTAACTTCAAACAAAAGGGATTAATAAAACCTTTGTTAAACAACAAGTTCACGACACTTAATCAGACTGATCCGTATGGGTATACAAATAAATGCACTCTCGATTTTATTTCTTTTATAATCTAAGAGTACCCAGATAAAAATAAAACATAACAGAATCCGAAACTGTTTCTCAGACGTTTCAGAGGTCCATCAATCCGGTCTCCATCCATACTAGTAACGTTTCCATAGTCATCAATTACGGTGATGTACATGTAGACCCAAAGCAGCCAAACGCGAACAGCCCATGGGCATCTCCCTTGCACATGGTCTCTGAGAAAGGCAGCAACGGCTGGCGTCCAGCTGGTGGCTGTCGGTGGTTGAATGCGAAAAACATTCCTCATCATTACCCGTCGTCTCACATCCACGACTTGACAGCTACTATGAAAGGTAAAAAGTGTATTTTCGAAAATCGACTTGATCAAAGCATATGACCAAATTCCTGTGGCTTCTGACGACATTCCAAAAACCGCTATCATCACTCCCTTCGATGTCGACGAGTTTTGCATATGTCTTTCGGCTAAAGAAATGCTGCACGTACTTTTCAAATTTTCATAAATGACATCTTTTGAGGTCTATGATGATTAAGAGTATTTGAATTATAGTACGAACTAAGATCCCAGAAATAACGTAATCGGATCAAGAAGTACTAGATAAACATGAACGAATGTACTGTATTTGAAATTCGAAATCAAGCATTCAACAAGTACAAAGGAATCATTAATTCATTCAAAAACCACAAGGTCTCAACTTCGTACATGCGTATGTTGATGATTGCTTAATCTCAAGTTCAAACAAGGAATCTCATCTCCAGCATTTGGACCTTGTTTTTGAACGACTGCAAAAACATGGCATTACCGTAAGCATTCTGAAATGTCAAGTCGGAACCGACTCCTTAGATTTCCTAGGACATACTATTGACGAGCAAGGCATTTGACCTCTAAGAAGCAGAGTGGCGGCCATTCTGGATTACCCAGAACCGACCACCATTAAGTAATTGCGCACATTTAACGAGCTGATAAGTTTCTACAGACGGTTCATACCAAACTGCGCTTCCCTTATGAAACCGCTAACCGACCAACTTCGTGGAAATGCGAAATCCATCAATTTGGACGATAGTACGCGAATAGCATTTTCCACAGTTAAGAAACCATGTTCGCACATCAGGACACCCGAGCACACATCAGCATCGCAGTGGACGCATCCGACTGAGCAATTGGAGGAATCTTATAATAATGGATTAACCACTACTGGCAACCTTTAACATTCTTCTCGAGATGGTTGCTAGACAGCGAATCGAGGTATAGCACTTTCGGTAGGGAACTCTTAGCTATGTATTGTGCTGCACAGCATTTTCAACACTCTATTGAAGGTTGATAATTCACTCTTATCAGTAACCATAAACCTCCTACCTTCTCTTCGAGCTCATCTGCAGACAAGTACTCAGCTCGTGAGTCTCAGCAACTGGAATACATTTCGCAGTTTACTTCAGACATACAAATTATTTCTAGAGCAAACAATGTAGTTGCAGATGCCTCCTCTCGTATAACTTCCTTGAACAGTTTCCAAGAAATCGACCTTCTTGAACTCTCACAGCTTCAAAAAGAAGGCACTGATCTTCAGCACGAGTTATCTTCAGCAACTCTAAAACTGCCTAATAAAGAGATGACGGCAGGTAAAGAACTTTACTATGTGACACATCTACAGGTAGGGATCTCCTGATCGTGCCGACGTAACTTCTTCAATACGTTGTACAAACGTTCACATTCAGGTGTTTGTGCAACCATCAGGCTCATAGCAGAACGGTTTTACTGGCTTTGTATGAATAAAGACGTGATGGAGTGGGCACACTCCTGTATAAGCTGCTAGAAATCTAAATTAATTATACACAAAAAATGTCCCTTAGGTTTGTTTAAAACTCCTGATGCTCAATTTGACCATGTCCATCTGGATTTGGTAGGACCTTTACCAGATTCAAATGGATATTCTTATCTTTTAACCTGAGTAAACCGTTTCACTCGATGGCCAGAAGCAGTACAGATCAAGGACATCACTGCTGAAACAGTGGCCCACGCCTTCGTCGAACTATGAGTAGCAAACTTTGTCTGCCCTTCAACCATCACTACAGATCGTGGACTCCAGTTCAAATCTGGACTTTTCCATTGCCTGACCATTCTGTTGGGAATCACTCATTTTCGATCGACCGCCTACCCCCCCACAAGCAAACGGGTTGATAGGACGCTTTCACCGAAAACTAAGAGCTTCACTACCAGCCGCAAACTTTTCACAGAGGACCGACGCAATTTCATTCATCCTACTAAGTATTCACAATGCAGTGAAAGCTGATATTGGATACACTGCGACGCA